GGAAGCATGGCTCAAGTGGTAGAGCACCTGCCTTGCAAATGCAAAGCCCTGAGTTCAAACTCCAGTGTTGCCAAAAACTAAAAAAAAAACCAAAAAATAAATAAAAATGACTTTCAGTGGCCAGGCCTGATGGCAGATGCCTATAATTCCAGCTACTTAGGGGGACTGAAGTCTGAGATTAAACCAGGCAAAAGCTCAAGACCCTACCTGAAAAACAAACTAATGCAAAAGGATTGGGGGCATCGCTGAAGTGGTAAAGAGCTTGCTAAGCACGAGACTCTGAGTTCAAACAAAAGAAAGAAAGAAAAAGACTTTCAGAGAATGCTTACCATAAAACAAGGTTGTTGGTAGGATCTCCTGCAAAGGTTGATTTTGAGTATGTACAGGGCAATCTAAAAATGTTCAATAAGAACTATAGTTTTTATCATTTAACAACATAACAGTAAAATAGGCAGATTTCGAGCCACACTGCCTGGGCTCAGATTCCAGCTTTAAAGCTCATAAACCGTGTGATCTCAGACAAGTCCATTAACTTCTGTTTGCGTTGGTTTTCTCACCTGTGAATGAGCCTACACCTGCCTCATCAGACTCACTGTGAGTTACATGAGGTTGTATGTGTGAAATGCTCAGAAAGAGGCCAGGCATGCAGTAAGTCCTTGATCACTGTGATTTATTAATTCAGTCAAGAACATCTACTGAGTTCCGATCAGATGCCAGAATTTGGGGTGGGGTGAGCTGAGTTAAATTCAACCTATTCTTGCCCTCTAGCATTTCCCAGGTCCTTTCAACCTCTGGCTTTCTAAGGTCACACTGGTTGCCCTCCAGTTTAGGACTTGCCTGGAGCCTTGTGTGCACATGGCAAGGGAGGTAGGGTGTAAGACAGGGTTGGAGGGAAGGGCAGTCTCTATCCATCCAATACCTCCCTTGCAGGTTTTTTGCAGTTCCCATCATGGCTCTGATTGCCAATTTTGGGATCCCCAAGTGGGCCCGGGAGAAGATTGTCAATGGCTTCCAGTTGGGGATCCACTTGTATGCTCACGGTGTGTTCTTGGTAAGGATGGGCATTCAGGTGGGTGGGAAGCTGAAGGGTGGAGGATACAATTCCACCTCCATCTCCCTTTTCTGAACATCCTTTCTGAGCTCTTAGGCTACATACTTTTTATTTTTCCCTTAGTCACTGAGAAGGTTCTTACTGACAGCCTGCTGGGTACTCTACTCAGTCCCTCAGAAGAGGGTAACTCTTCTTTTCTCTCCCATTATGTGTCCTGGTTTCTTCCCCCAACCTCACACTTTCTTGGCTTCTCCATTCCTATTTCCATTCTTTTGTTTTGTTTTTGAGACAGGGCCTAGTAAAAGAGCCAGATTGGCCTTGAACTGGCAAATCTCCCTGCCCAGTCTCCCAAGTGCTGGGACTACAGGCATGTAGCACCACACCTGGCCCCATTTCCATTCTTGACCCTGTGCCCTCAGACTTTCACATTTTGTTTCCCCACTGCCCTCCCAATTCCTTGGTCTCTACTCTACCCCTCCCCCCACCCCCATTCTCCTATCACAGGCCATTGTTCAGGAAGAAGAAGCTGGGACCAGACCAGACTGGGGCTTCTGGGGTCTAGATCTAGACATGAAGAGGGTCTCGGCACCAAGTCTTTTCTTGGTCCTGGTTCACACCCTATTCTGACTTTCTCAGCGACAGTTCTCATTCATTCATTAATTCATCCATCCATCAATTGTTCAATGGGCAGCTGTCCGGAACCACCTTTCTTCCTAGGAACATCCATGTGCATTTATCCCTGATCTCTTGTTCAGTTGTTAGAGCAGCCCCAGGGGAGAATGGTAGCAGTCATTGCACCCATTATACAGAGAGAGGAAGCAAAGACCCAGAGAGGGCAGATGATCTGCCAGGACTTCATGGGCTTTGGTGGCAGGGCAGACACTCTGACTTCTGCTCTTCTTTGGCAGATCACGTTTCACATAAGGAAGAGCTGCAAAGGGTATCACAAAAGATCCCACTGAGGGTTCCAGCTTTTAGCCCCAGGGATCCACAATGTGCCTGTGTAGATAATGCATTCAGCTGCCCAGGAGCAGGGTCAGACTGTCATCCTCTGCCTCAGAGCCTGAATTAGCTATAGACTCACTTGCCTTCCCTGGTTGGCCTATCTTGAAGTGCTGCAGGAAGTCAGAAAGGGATAGAAAGAAAAGAAACACTGAGAACCCACCATGTACCAGGCTCTGCACCAGCGGTTTTCATTTCTACCCTCTCATCTTTCCAGATAGGCACTATAATCCCTTTTGGTAGTGAGGCTCAGGTTGTTTAATCAACATGCCCCAGATCCCACACTTAGAAAGGGCGCCAAGAGGTGCTATGCAAGCTCAGGATGCCAAATGCAGTACCCTTGCTGTTACTTCACCTTCGGCCAGCTTCCTTCCTAAAAATGCGCAGCTTAGCTCAGCACAGCTGTTTCTGGCGTCCCACTGCTCACAGGTTTCACCTCCTCTTACATGCATTTAGCACAACGTGAGAGAACCTGTGCTGAGCTGCTTGGGGGTTGTGATGGAATCACACTTAACCCATGCCCTGTGACCTACCAGAGATATCCTCCCATTCAACTAGTATTTATTGAAGGCTTATTTGTGCCTGACACTGCTCTAAAAGGTACTAGGGATTCAACAGGGAAGAGAAGAGTCAAGTCTCTGCCTCCATGGAGCTATCAAATGAACTTTCTGTTTTATGAGAATATTTTGTAATCCGTGTTTTCCAATAGGGTGGCTAATGAGCACTTGAATGTGGGTAGGGTAGTGTGACTGAGAAACTAAAATTTTAATTTTGATTAAATTTAACCTCCATGTGGCTAGTGGCTATCATACCGGTCAGAATAGGACAGGAATCTCAATCAATCAGTGATTTCCCCAGTGATCAGAGTTCTGATGGAGGAAGCATGAGCAATATTAGAGGCGTGCTGAGGGGAAAGGTCAAAACCCTAGCCCAGAAGAGGCGCCTAATCCAGTCTGCAGGGAAGTGGGCGACAGGAGGTCAAGTGGAGGGGAATCTTTAGGTCTCCTAAATTTATGGCAATAGCCCAGGCCCTAGATGATGCTTCTCCAACCTGGGTCTGACCCTTTCTTTGCCTCAGATCATGACCCGTCCATCTGCGGCCAACAAGAACTTCCCGTACCACGTGCGCACGTCGCAGATCGCCTCGGCCGGGGCACCGGGACCCGGAGGGAGCCAGTCGAGTGACAAGGCCTTCCCGCAGCACGTCTATGGGAACGTGACGTTCATCAGCGACTCGGTGCCCAACTTCACGGAGCTCTTCTCCATCCCCCCGCCCACCTCCTCCGTAAGCCCCGCGGCCCCGGCGCCCGAGGAGCTGCTGGCGCCGCCCCTGGAGTACCTGACCCCGCTCCCGGCCCCGCCGCCGCCCCCGGCCCCCGCGCCCCGGCGCCTGAGCCCGGCCCCTGCCTTCCGTATGCCCCGTGTCCCAACACCGCGCCGCGACCGTCCCCCGGCGCCCGCGCCCACCCTGCCGGATTGGGTCCTGGCGCTATTGCGCACGCCCCCGCGGACGCCCCGCGCTGTGCCCCCGCCGCCTGCCTTCCGCGGCTCTCCCCCAGCTCCCCGGCCGCCGCGGGAGTTTGCCCGGCGCAGCCCGACGCCTCCCCTTGAGTACCTGGCTCCGCTGCCCAGGCGCCCCGCCACCCACTCCTTCCCTGACTGACACGTGCGTCCATACTTAGGGTGGTGGGGGTTCTCTAGGGGGAGGGGGACGGGACTTCGGGGCCGCATCTGCCCCCCGAGGGTCCTAGACGACCTCTGACCGTGACCCCCCTCCCAGGCCGGGAAGCAGGTGGAGGAGACAGCGGTAGCGGCGGCGGCGGCCCCGAGGGGCCGCGTGGTGACCATGGCCGAGTCGGGCGCAGCCTCCCCACCCCCTCCCGCTCGGTTCCCCAAGGCGGCTGACTCGGGCTGGGATGGCCCGACGCCGCCCTACCAGCCGCTTGTGCCCCAGACGGCGGCGCCACACACCGGCTTCACCGAATACTTCAGCATGCACACGGCCGGGGGCCCCGCACCCCCGGTCTGAGCACCCCTGCCCGCCCCAACCCTGTGGGCCAAGCACCGGGCCCCGGCTGGGCTCCGGACGCCCCACTGTCCCGACCCCAGGGCTTGGCCATCCTAGGTCTTCCCGCCCCTTCCCACCCCGCGCGCCCAGGTGGGGCGCGCTGCGTCCCGCCCCTCTGCCCTCTTGTGCCAAACGGTCCCGCGGGAGCCGCTCTCCCCGTCCCCTCCCTTAGCCCCTGCCCCGAATGGCGCCGGATTCTGGGCTCCCGCTGTTCCGTGATCTCCGCCCCCCTGGTCCCCTCCGAGACCTCTGACCCCGCCGGACTCCGGAACACCCGAGATGATCGCCGGGACCCTGCCTATGACTCTCCAGGACTCCGCGACCCCGAGCCACTGCTCCCGGGATGGATATTGTGAAGCTGGTCTCGACTCTGAAACCCTCCCTCGGATCTGTGACCTCGGACCTGTGCTCTGTCTGCCCCTATCTGCGCTCCGGGCCTTCCCTCGGATCCCTGGCAGAAAGACATTTTGTCTTCTTGCCAAAATAAAGAGGATTCGTTGAGTTTTTAATCTATAACACCGCTTCTTTTACATCTTGATGCTCAGCGACGGGGTTGAGCAAGAACTTGTTTCAGACCCAAGATCTCAATGTGTCCATCTGTGAAATGACACTTTGGGACCGGAGGCAAGGGCCTGTACAACCTGACTTTTATGCGGACCCAGAATCTCGGAGCACAGAAGATATCAATCATCTAGCAGAGCCCTCTATTACACCCCTCCTTTATTTTCACCTTCCCTTTCCCAGTCAGAGATAGGGGCGCCCTCCAGTGGTATTGCTTTGCTCACTCCATTTTGGGTCACCATCTTAGCACTGCGCATGCACGAATCACCCTCCCTCCGGGCCCCCCCACCCCTTGCCCAAGGAGATCGTCACTGCGCATGCGGCTGGGGACAGATGGGCGGGGAAGTTTCCGGAAGGCTCTCCGTGCGAGGAGTGGGGTTGGGTGCTCCGCATACCTCCCAGGGCCGCTCTGTCCTGCCGTTCTGCAGCTTCTCGCCTCCTCTCCGCCAGTTCTTCCACAGCGTCTGCGTGGCTCCCGCCCCGTTGCCTTACCAGCGGGTCTTCCCCCGGGCCGCTCTGGCCCGGGAGTCCCCTAGTCTCTCTGGTCTGGCCCATCAGGCTCTGGAGGGAGGCGCGGGTGGGTGAGCAAAGGGTGTGCGCCTATGGGATCCAGGCCCAAGACCCTGAAGCCAGACTCCGCCCCCGGCACTCGCTCGCGCCCCGCCCCCGCCTGGAGGGGTCTCCCAGGGACCAGCTGGGCCTGGCCGGTCCCGGCCCGTCCTCTCTATGGAGGCCTCTGCCGGGTCGTAAAGCCCTTCGTCCCTGGGGACCCACCCAGCTATAAGGTCTGTTTTGGCCTGCCGCGGTCCGAGTCTAACTGCTGGAAGCCGTCTATGGGGTCAGCCCCCTATGGGGGTCCGTGTCTATAGGGGACCCCTACGGTCCCTAGGGTTGGCCCCATCTATGACGACCTCATATACAAGGCCTTCCATGGGTCTCTAGAGCCCGCCCCTCGGCTTCCAGAGCCGTTCTCTTGGCAGGGACAGCGTCTCCGGGACCTCCTGGGTCTACAAGGCCATGCTACGCCTGTAGAGGTCGCATTTACAGGGCCTCAAGCCTTTAGAGGGTCCTCTCCGGGTCTCTGCGGCCCCTCCTGCCTCTCTCAGGGTCAGTGCGGGCGGTGGCGATGGCCTCGGGCCGGATTCTGGCTCTGGCCTTGGCCGTGGCTGTGCTGGGGCCGCTGTCCTTCAGGGCCCTGGCGGGGGACTGCAAGGGGCAGCGGCAGGTGCTACGGGAGGCGCCAGGCTTCGTGACGGATGGTGCGGGCAACTACAGCGTCAATGGCAACTGCGAGTGGCTTATTGAGGGTGAGTGGGGCCTCGTGGGTCACTCGCTTATTTGCTAGTTCATTCATTTGCACATTCATCCACTCAGCATGTTCCCAGAGCCCAGCTGTAGGCCGGGGCTTTGATTCTAAACTGTTGGACGCCCAGGGTTGCAACCAACCTGGGCCCTCCTCCTGCGAGGGCAGGAAGTCTGTGGGGGAGATGTGTGCAAACTCTGATAGACAGTTGCAAACCAGGAGCATCAGCCGGGAGTGATGGCACACATCTGTAATTCCAGCACGCCAGGGTCAGAGGGAGGAACTCCAGTTCCATGCCAGCCTGGGCTACATAGTGAGACCCTGTTTCAAAAAACAAGCGAGCAAACAAACCAGGAATGTCAGTGAGCAGTATTCTCAGTAATTGTTAAAAAGCAAAACAAAACAAAATCAGGCTACCAGTCCAATCACCTGGCGTAGAATTCAGCCTCTCCTTCGTATCAGCTTTGTAACTTTGAGCAGGTGAATTTCTTTCTGAGACAGCTTCCCATACTCCAAATGGGAATAGCAATAATATTCAACTCCCAGGGTTATTGAAATTAAATGCTTGATGCCTAACACATAGTAAATGTTCAGTAAATGGCAATGTTATTGTGGTGGTTTATTTTTTTGGTAGTGCTGGGGTTTGAACTCAGACCTTCACAGGTGTTCTACCACTTGAGCCACTCCCCCAGCCCTTTTTTTGTGCTGGTTATTCTCAAGACAGGGTCTCGTGAACTATTTGCTCAGGCTGACTTCGAACCATGATCCTCCCGATCTCTTCCTCCTGAGTAACTAGGATTACAGGTGTGAGCCACTGGTGTCCAGCTATTGTGGTTATGTTTAAAGTCCTTTGGTAAAAGCATTTTTTTCAGTCATTCATGTGCCAGACATTTGTATTTGTCACCAAGACATAGCAGAAGACGAAAGCCCCAGCAGTCCCTGGTGACTCGGCTTGGAGTCCAGTGGGGGAGACAAACATTAACAGACAGTGACAACCCAGGGTGGTCTGTGATGGAGGAACCCATGGGCCTAGGAGAGTCAAGAGGACTTGACCTGCCAGAGGGGAGAGCGAGAGGCTTCCTGGATTAGCTGTCAGTGAGGAGACCTAAGGGACCAATAGGAATCAGCCAAGAGGGGGCAGAAGAGCATTCCAGGAAGAGGGGACAGAGGATGTGCTGGTGCACATCTGTAAGGCTCAGGAGGGGAGAGTGGGAGGATCCAGATTCCAGGCCAGCTCAGTCAAAAAGTTAGGTAGATCCCATCTCAGCCAACAAGCTGCACGTAGTGTTGCCCGCCTGTGATCCCAGCTACGAGGGAGGAATGGTGGGAGGCTTATGTTCTGAGTATGACCCAGGCAAAAACCAAGACCCTATCTGAAAAACAACTAAAGCAAAAGGGACTGGGGGCACGGCTCATGTGTACATGCCTGCCTAGCAAGCATGGGTCCCTGAGTTGAAACCTCTGTCCTGCCCCCCGCCCCCCCCAAAAAAAAACAAAAGAGAGAACAGTCTGTATAAAGGCTCCAGCCCTACCCTTATGGGCCCCCAGTCAATAGGGGAGGCTCATGCACTCCCAAGGACTGGGGAAGCCCTGAGAAGACCCACTCGTCTGGGGTCTGGCTGAGACGGCATGAGTAAGAAGGAGCTGAAGGGCACTCCAGCAAGGAGAACAGCCCATGCGAAAGCCTGGAGGCAGAAGGGCAGGATGGCCTTAGCAAGTAGAAATTCAGTGTGTTAAATCATAGAGTGCAAGAGATATCAGTGAGCCAAAGGATGTAGGAGTCTGTAATTTCGAAGGCGGTAGGAAAGGTGAAGAGAAGTCCAGGACAGTGGTTGGAAAAGTCCAGAAAGGCCTCCCAGGGCAATAGATGTGGGAACTGACCTCCAAGAAGAGGTGGGAGGTCATGGGCAAAGGCCTGAGGTGTGACAAGGCCTACATCATGCAGGGCTTCCCTTGGCAGACTGTGGAGTGTGGTCTTTACTGGGGGTACTGGGGAGCTATAGAAGGGTATTGAGCAGGGTAAGTACATGATCTGGTTTATGTTTTCGAAGATCTCTCCGGATACTTTGTGGGGAAAGCATGAAGGCATGTGTCTTGGGGTAAATGTGTCTATCTACCTGTCCCCAACTTAGAAGCCATTCCTGTCAGGCTGTGAGATGAGAATGGAATGGAATTACCTAATGGGGGATGGTTATAAATCATTCTCTGACCTTGAAGAGTCTCAGATTGGTTGGGGAATGGTGGGGCTGGACCTGACATTCAGCTGCCAGTGTGCTCAGAGACCATGCTCAAGGATGAGGCACAGAGAGGTATAGGGTTCGGTCTAGGTAAGTGAGAGGAATCTGCTGGAAGGCACAGAGGAGGAGCTACTGACGTGGGGTTCTGAAGCATGTGTAGGAGTTTTCTGAGTTTGAAAAGGTAACAGCCTCTATGAAGACATGAGGGAGGCTGGTGCATCTCAGGATCCTGGTCTGAGTTTTTCTGGTCTAGTTGGTCACCTCCAGAGGTGAGGAGGGAGGGAGCCAGAAGCTGGGGAGGATGGGTTTTGAACATCACACTGAGCAGCTTGGCAATCTCTTGGGGATACTGGGGAGGGAGCACTGAATGATTTTGAACAGGAGTGGGACATTACTCTTAGCTGATTGGAGGGCAGTCTGGAGATTTGGTGTACTGGTCTCTCAGGAGAAAATGAGTTGTGAGCTGTGAGCTAAGGGGAGGATGAAAGACAAGAATTTAGGGTGATGTTTGTGGAGTTTCACAAGTGAGATTTGGGGACCAACAGACTGGATATTGGTGTGAGAGAGGTGTTGGGAAGATCTTTATCTCTGATCCTTCTCAATGCCTATCACATCTAAGAACAGACATTTCCCTCCATCAGTTAAAAAATAAGCAACCAGGCCAGGTGTGGTGGCGCATGCTTATAATCCCAGCTACCCAGGAGGTGGAGGTAGTAAGATTGAGGTCCAAGGCCGGCTGGGGGTGTGGCTGAAGTGATGGATGAAAGGAAGGAGGGAAGGAAGGATGGAAAGAAGGAAGGAGAAAAGCAGCCAACCCACCTACTTTTTGTTGTCCTTGTTTTTTTCAGACAGGGTCTCACTATGTAGCCCAGGCTGGCCTCAAACTCAGATCCTCTTGCCTCCCCAGTCCTGAGTACTAGGATTACAGGCATGCACCCATTTACTTTATTCCATATTCAGACTTTCTCTAGTCCCAGCTTCCTTACATCCTCCTGTGTAAGATCATCTTCTGAGCAGGGGCGGGAGTGGTTTGAGATCAGATTTCTTTCTGGAATGGTGTGGGGGTTGAGTGGAAACAGGAAACCTTGAATTTAGGGAGGAACTTGGGGAAGGCAGATGGTGAGGCAGTGGCCTCCAGCAGACACTTGACAAAGATGTACTTGTGAGTGCAGAAATAGCGCTGCATGATTTGGACAAGACTGGTGAGATTCTGGGAGGTCTGAATGGTTCTTGTGCATTCCCCAGACCAAGGGCAGGATCAGTACGGGGTGTCCCAGGGCTTTGGTCGGAGCCTGAGTGAGGGCTGCGAGCTTCAGTAGACTTTTGTACATTTCTTAGTTTTGTCATCCAGCACTGGCTGAGCCTTGCTCAGCACCGGGCCTCGTGCTGGCCAGTGGCAGGGAGGGAATTAGGCCCAGGCCTAGGCCCTGCCCAGTGGGCCCCCTAGACTGCAGTAGAACACACTTGGGCACATATGGTCTGGGCCTAGAGGAATGAACATTATAAGGGTTAGGACTTCCTAACCCTTCTAGAGGCCATCAGGGTGGGCTTCCCGGAAGAGGAGGAGAATTTTATTGGCAGGAAGGAAAGATGTGCTCCAGATCGAGGAAGGAGCTTATGCTAAGGCCCAGTTCCCCGTAAAGCTACACACAGTGGGCTAATGTCAGATAAGGTCAGAATCCAAACACCTGGTTAGGGAGCTGGATTTTTCTCCTAGGGTGGTAGAACATTCTGGCAGAGGGACAGGGTGAGATGTCAAGTTGGGAAGATAACTCAGGAACTCATGTTAGGGCAAGACTGAAGGCCAAGCCTGGAAGGGGGCTGGATCAGTGGTTCTGCTGCGAGAAGACAAGGACAGAGTCTGGGCAGGATGCATTACCAAGCACCCAGCTCTGGGCAGGCAAGTTAGAGTCACCATTTGGTTGAATGTTCGGTGGGAAAATTGTCCCCATTTTACAGTCAAGGAAATTGAGAGGCCCAGATTGTCCAGGGAACTGGCCGGCGATCATACAGCCCAAGAGAGTGGTAGAGGATCATCTCCAGGATCCAGATGAGTGTGCTGATGGTCACCGGGGAAGAGCTGGTTCAGGGTCCTCCAGCGGGACAGGGCAGAGCTGGAACCCAGGTCTCCTAGTTTCTTAGCCCAGATGACTCCTCTGAGCTCCGCAGTGATCTCATGGAGCCCTCTAGTGTGGGAGGTGGGATGAGAGAAACTTCTGGAATCAGGATCTGGCACAGAGCAAGAATAGGGACTGTGTTAAGCTCTTACTGCTATGTGCTAGGCCCTGTTGTAAGCACTTTATGGGCATTATCGCCTCTTACACAGTCACGGTCAGATGTCAGCGGAATCTCACCTGTGCTGGATGTCCCAGGAATGCCTTCAAAGGCTGGGCATTGAAGCTGACTGCCAGCTGGAAGCTCAACTGGGGCTGAGGCCAGAACACCTATGTGTGGCCTCTCCATGTGGCTCTGGCTTTTCAGAGCATGACAGCTGTGTTCTGAGAGGGAACTGTCTGTGAGGCCCAGGTGAGAGCTGGAAGCTTCTTATTTCCTAGCCTCAGAGTCCAGAAAGTCACTTCTGCTGCTTTTTATTGGTCAAGCAAGTCACTAAAGCAGTTAAGTCCCAGATACAAGGGGCAGGAAATTAGTTCTCATCTTTATTGTAATATATTATTGTTATATGCACATAACGCATGTATATATAATGGTAATATGTTACGATTTTATAACATACATAAAATATTTTGAGGCGGTCTCATTATGTAGTTCAGGCTGTCTGAACTTCCATTTCAGCTTCTCTAGTGCTGTGATCACTTGTGTGAGTCACCGTGCCCCAGCTTTAACTCTCACCTGTAAATGCAAAAGTGCCCTAAAGAGATGGTTCTTAGGTTGGGCATGGTAGTGCAAGTCCATAATCCCAGCTACTTGGGAGGTGAAGGTAGGAGGATCATGGTTTGAGGCCAGCCTAGGCAAGAAAAAAGTTATCAAAACCCTGTCTCCAAAATCAAGCCAGGTGTGGTGGTACACATCTGTAATCCCAGCTACTTGGGAGACAGAGGTAAGAAGATTATGGTCTGAGGCCAGCCCTCAGCAAAAGCATCAGACCTTATGTGAAAAATAAGCTACAGCCAAAAGGACTGAGCGTGTGACTCAAGTGTAGAACACCTGCCTAACAAGCATGAGGCTCTGAGTTTAATCCCCAGTACCAAAAGCTTGTTTTTTTGCAGTGCTGGGGATGGGTCCCAGGGCCTACACTTGCTAGGGAAGCACTCCAGCACTGAACTGTACCCCTCGCACTGACTGAAGAAGTTTAGGTTCACCCCAGTGCTATTGTACCCCCACTTTACAGGTGAGGAAACTGAGTCAGAGAGGGTAGATGAGTTGCCCGAGGTCACTTAGCTAGTAGCTCTTCAGTGGCAGAGCCAAGGTTTGAGCCCAGGCACTTTAGCTCTTGGAGCCTGTGCCTGTAGCCACTGTAGTGGAAAGACAGCAGCTGTGATCCTCTTGTTAAGATTTGGGTCTTTGCTCAGGGGGAGGCAGCAGGACTTCCTTGAGTGCTGTGTTCAGCTTTGCCTGGGAAAGTCTCTTGCCTCTGCTAGGGCCTGGGCCAGGACCCTTAGGCCAGGGCAAGTCTGAGGCTGGTGCACAGACAGGATAAATAAGGGATCAGGGATGCTGTGCAGCTCTGGAACCTCTAGAAAGGGCTCCTCTTTCCGCGTCAGGTTCCTGGTCTGAATGGTGGGGGTGTTCCGTCTGATGGCACTGGGATCCCTGCTCTGGGCTCCTGTCTCTCTGGCTGTCACAGCTGACTTCCCTGGGCCATAAACCCAGGAGCCACTTTGAGCCTTCCCACTACCTGAAGCAGGGCGCTCTGTCTGTGGCTGGCTGAATGGAGGCGAGGGGAAGGTGCACACTTGAACGTGGCCCTTCTGTGTTCATCCCCAGCCCCGAGCCCCCAGCACCGGATCCTGCTGGACTTGCTCTTCCTGGACACAGAGTGCGCGTACGACTACCTGTTTGTGTATGACGGGGACTCCCCGCAGGGCCCGCTGCTGGCCAGTCTGAGTGGGAGCGCCAGGCCTCCACCCATCGAAGCCTCCTCGGGCAAGGTTTGGGGACAGGCTGTGGGGCTGTGGCTGGAGGACCTGGGGGCATGGAGGAGAGGGAGATGAAAGGGTCAGTCAGAGGGTGTCCAAGAAGAACACAGACGGGGAAGGGTCCCCTGAGGATGAGCTGTGCTCTGGGGCCAGCCTACCCTCCGTGCCCAGCCTCCTTGTTTCTGCAGATGCTGCTTCACCTCTTCAGCGATGCCAACTACAACCTTCTGGGTTTCAATGCCTCCTTTCGCTTCTCCCTCTGTCCCGGGGGCTGCCGGAGCCACGGGCAGTGCCGGCCCCCAGGGGTGTGTGCCTGTGAGCCAGGCTGGGGTGGCCCTGACTGCGGCCTGCAGGAATGCTCGGCTTACTGCGGTAGCCATGGCACCTGCGCCTCGGTGAGCTGGTGCCCAGTGTGCCCCTCGGTCCCTGATCTTTTACTACTCCTGGCTCACCACCCCTCCCCCTCCCAGTGCCACCCAGTCCTCTCTCCTTCCAGATCTCACCCCTACCTGTGACTCCAGTCCTCTCCACCTCTACCTACCGACTCTCCTCCTGCCTTGGCCTCATCCACATCCCTCCTTGGGAGCACTGCCTTCCCTCCTGCTAGGCTCAGCTCCCTCCTCCCAGCTGGCTACTTGTTTGGCCATGACTTCTGTCCTTTCACTGCTGACTTTGCACCTGAGGATCTGCATCTCACTTTGAGTCTTCCCTGCCTTAATTTCTCAGATCTGAGCTCTTTTAGCCTGGGCTAAACATGGAGGTCTCCTATCTCTCTTCTGTCTTTCCTGCTTTCTCAGTGGGTCTTGCCTTTTCTCTGTTGGTCTACCTCTGCCTCCTGGTTTTGTCTGTGTCCCCTGTCTCCTGCTTTTTGTCTGTCTGACCATCTGTCTTTCCTTTTGCCTCTCTGTCTCTTTCTTTTCATGTTTTTTCCCTTCTTGTCTGTCTCATTCCTTTCTGCCCTGTTTGTTCCCCACTGGCTGTTTCTCCTTGTGTTCCCGCCCTGTCTCTGACACTTTCCCTGCCTTTATGCTCTCTTCCTCAGCCCCTGGGACCTTGCCGCTGTGAGCCTGGCTTCCTGGGCCACGCCTGTGACCTGCACTTGTGGGAGAACCAGGGGGCTGGCTGGTGGCACAATGTGAGTGCCGGAGACCCTGCTTTCTCTGCCCGTATTGGAGCAGCCGGTGCCTTCCTGTCCCCACCGGGGCTGCTGGCTGTTTTTGGAGGTGAGCAGCTGGGGTGAGTGTGAGAGGTACGAAGGCATGGCAGCCTGTGGCCAGGGCTTGAGACCATCCACCCCTCCGTAGGCCAGGACCTCAACAAGGCCCTGGGTGACCTTGTCCTGTACAACTTCTCTGCCAACACCTGGGAATGCTGGGATCTCAGTCCTGCCCCGGTATGTATCTCTCCTCTGCCCTGGCTGGGGGAGCCTGTCACTTGCCAGGTCCAGCCAAGGTCCCCTCAAAGCAGCCCCTCTGCCCCATACTGCCTTCAGCCCCCGACAGCTTGATAAACCTGCTTCTCCCAGTTTCTACCTTTGCTCTTCTTGTCTTTTTTCTCTTGCTTCTTTTTTCTCTCTTTCTGCATCCTGCCTTTTTTCATGTGTGTCCATGTCTCTCGGTCTGCCTCTGTGTTTGTCTTGTTCCTATTCTTTTGTTCCATCTTGGTGTCCACGTATTCATCTATTTCTCCCTCTCTGCTTTTCTTTCACTTCTGTTTCTTCTTTCCTCTCTTACTGTGTTTCTTTCTCTCACTTTGTTTTTATTTACACATTTCCGTCTTTTTGTGCCTGACTCCTTTTCTCTGTGTATCTCTGTTCTCTTTGTCTCACTATCTGTTCATCTTTCTGTCTCTGCATCTGTCTGTCTGTCTGTCTGTCTCTGTCACCATCTATTTCCCTCCTCATCTCTGTTTCCTTGTCTCTTTCACACAGGCCGCCCGTCACTCCCATGTGGCCATAGCCTGGGATGGCTCTCTGGTGCTGATGGGTGGTGAGCTGGCAGATGGCTCGCTCACCAACGATGTGTGGGCCTTTAGCCCATTGGGCAGGGGTTACTGGAAGCTTCTGGCACCAGCTACTTCCAGCTCCTCAGGGCCCCCAGGCCTGGCAGGTCATGCGGCTGCTCTGGTAGATGACATCTGGCTCTATGTGTCCGGTGGCCGCACTCAGCACGACCTCTTCTCCTCTGGCCTTTTCCGTTTCCGCCTTGACAGTACCAGTGGGGGCTACTGGGAGCAGGTGGTTCCAGCAGGTGGGAGACCCCCTGCTGCCACTGGCCACTCCATGGTGTTCCATGCGCCCTCCCGTGCCCTGCTGGTCCATGGTGGACACCGGCCTTCCACTGCCCGGTGAGTGGCCTTCCCCACACCCATGTTCCTTAGTGTCAGGCTGACCCAACACTCCAGGAAGCTTAGCTTTAAGAAGTCTTTAGGGCTGGACATAGTGGTGTACACCTGTAATCCTGGCTATTCAGGAGGCAGAGATAGGAAGATTGTGGTCTGAGGCCAGCCTAGGCAAAAGTGTGAGACCCTATCTGAAAAACAAACTAAAAACATAAGGGTTGGAGGTGTGGCTCAAGTGGTAGAGCACTTGCCTAGCAAGTCCAAGGCCCTGAGTTTAGTCTCCAGTGGCATCAAAAAAAAAAAAAAAAAAGACTTCAGCCACTAACAGACTCCCGTAGTCATTCAGTCACTTTTTCCTTTCTGTATTCATTCATCCATGTGTTCATTCATTTACTCACTCTCCTACACACTGTCTGATCCTTGATTCAGTCTTTGGCTACACATTCCCATCCATTTATTCATGGAGCCCCTGCCTCATGTCCAGCCTTGACTAGATTTTGCAGATAACCCAAACATCAGTCAGACCTGGATCCTGCCCACAGCAAATGTTTAGTTAGGAAGGGACATCAACCTGGTCATGGCCGATCTCAACCCCAGATGATCATATAGGTCCCAAGCACCCAGAGGAGGGAGGGAGGCCCTTCCTGCCCTGAGCCCCTGCCCTGCTTCTCCCCTTGTAGATTCTCTGTACGTGTGAACTCCACTGAGCTCTTCCATGTGGATCGACGTGTGTGGACCACCCTGAAGGGCCGGGATGGACTTCAGGGCCCTCGGGAGCGGGCCTTCCACACAGCCAGCGTCCTGGGCAACTACATGGTGGTCTATGGTGAGGAGGCTCCTGATCCTGCCCGTGTGCCAGGGGCTCGAGCCGACCCTGAGCTGAGGCTCCCCGCTCCAGTGTCCCTGCTTCCCCTTGCCTTGCCAGCTGTGCCCCTTTCCTCCTTCCCCAGGTGGCAACGTACACACCCATTATCAGGAAGAAAAGTGCTATGAAGATGGCATCTTCTTCTACCACCTTGGCTGCCATCAGTGGGTGTCAGGGGCTGAGCTTGCACCCCCAGGAACCCCAGAGGGTGAGTGGCCCCTCTTTTCCTGAGGGCTCCCGAGGGTCCCACCTCCTCCCACAGTTAGTCTAGGCAGAGTTGCCTTGGTCCTTGCAGGTGAGCCAGGCACTCTGTTTTCTCCAGAGGCAAGTCTGGGCCCGAGATGGGGCTGGCAGTGTCACTGTGGAGCTGGGAGGCAGGTGCGGCCACAAGAGACCTAGATCCCAGTCCCAAGTTTTGCATCTCTAGCTGCCGAAGAAGCAGTGACTTCTTTAAGGACACAGTGGGGAAGTGGCAGAACCAAGACGGCTGGCTCCAAACACCCATCTGCCACAAACCATCCTTTTGTCTCTCTGTATCTCACTCACCCCGTATATGAAGTGGGGGTTATGATAAGGTTATGCCTTCGGGCTGCTGTGAAAGTAAGTTGAGGTGATGCCTGAAGCCTGAATTGTGCAGCGAAGCGCTCAACATGTTGTCTTTCTTTTTATTTTAAATTGTAATTCCCTGTGCTTTGTGGAACATATATATGGGTGAGTAAGAGGGCCGGAAAGTCACCATTCACTGACCACTTACTTGTCAGTCAGGAGTCTTGTTTGCATGGAGCAGAAACCCAGTCCAACTGGTGTAAGCACAAAGAATTTCTTGGCTCATGTGAGTGAAAGCTTCAGGTTGAGCTGGATGCAGGTGCTCACTGATAGCCTCAGCCATTTCTCCAATTCTTAGGTGGTTTAGCTTCAGTTTTTAGCTGTTTTACCTTTTGTAGATGGTCACTGGCTTAGATTATATGTACTTCCTTAAAATTCCCAGAGGGAGGAGAGTTCTTTCCCAGGAATGGTAGGGGCTGAGTCTTTACCTGTCTTTGAACTAGTCACTGAGACTCAGAGGACTGGGCTTAGGTCCCAGTTCTGCCAGAGGCAGGGCCAGCTCTACTCCCATCTCTTGACTGAGTGTGAGAAAGGGTGGTTTTCCAGAGGGAAACCGGGGGCAGTCACCAGAGGGGAGGCTGGTGCTGGACAGACAAAAACAGGTGAGGCTTTGCCTATCCTCCTAGCTTTCTGAGGGTGGAAGGGCAGTTCCATTTATAAAGGAAGAAACCAAGACTCAGAGAAGTGGGGTCTCCTACCCTATATCACATAGCCAGTAGTTGATCCGTGATTTGAACCCATGTCTTTCTGACCCAGAGATGCTGTCTGAAAGATGATTTGGGCAGGGTGTTGGGACTCTGAGAAGTGAGGGTTGTAGCCAGTACAGAGCCAGGTAGGCCTGAAGATTCCTTGGGCAGCAATAGGATGCTCAGGAAGGCAGAGGTGGGGGGTTGGGGGTCTAATGTTTAGCGTTTGTGTTCTCCTAGGCCGAGCAGCACCTCCCAGTGGTCGGTACTCGCATGTGGCAGCTGTGCTTGGTGGCAGTGTCCTGTTGGTGGCTGGGGGATATAGTGGTCGACCTCGGGGAGACTTGATGGCCTACAAGGTGCCTCCCTTCGTGTTCCAGGCACCTGCCCTGGATGTGAGCACTGGGGGACAGGAAGAGGGTGGTTGGGGGAGGAGGTGGCATGGTCCCCACCAGTGAGGAAGGTAGTGGGGAAGAGGGCCCTAGGGCCAGGAGAGGAGGGAAGGAAGTCCCTGGGGTTGAGGGAAGCTATGATAGAGGGTCCCTGAGGCTGGGGAAGGAATGAGTGTGTCCTCAAGGTGCTGAGCAGTTGGGGTTCCCTAGGACAATCACAGTGATGAGAGATTGGCAGGCAGACCCAGGTCTGAGCAACTTCCTTTTCTGTCCCTAACTCCTTATAGTACCACTTGGACTATTGTTCCATGTACACGGACCACAGTGTCTGCTCCCGAGATCCCGAATGCAGCTGGTGTCAGGGGGCCTGCCAAGCTGCACCCCCTCCTGGTACCCCCTCAGGAGCTGTGAGTGACCACCCTGGACCCTCTGTCCCTGACATAGAGACCTGCTCTCAGCCTCCCTCTACCTAAGCCAAATGCTCAAGGATTTTCCCAGTTGGGATGCTTGTTTTCACATACATGATCCTCAGCCGGCCTCCCTCCAACTGCTAATCCCAGAAATTTTGACCCCTGCCAGTCCCATCCTTTTGAGCTTATGTGTTTGCCCCTGGGCACCCCCAGCCCCTGTCCTCGATATCCTGCTTCTGATTCTCCATTCTATAATTTGCTGGCCACTTTCACCCTAAGACCCTTGTATCCACACCCCATCCCAGATTCCTTAAGCTCTGGTGGACAATGAGCCTTGTCTTTAATCCCTCTTTGCAGTGTCCAGCTGCTAGCTGCTTGGGCCTGGGCCGCCTCCTGGTTGACTGCCAGGCATGCCTGGCCTTCAGCAGTCCCACAGCCCCTCCCCGGGGGCCTGGTGCCCTGGGCTGGTGTGTGCACAATGAGAGCTGCCTCCCTCGGCCTGGTGAGTGTCCAGTGGCAGTGGGGAAGAGGTGGCAGAACCCCCTCCACTGACCCCCTAGGCTCCTACGTCTCTGTCCTCCCAGAGCAGGCCCGCTGCCGAGGGGAGCAGATTTCAGGCACTGTGGGCTGGTGGGGGCCAGCACCTGTCTTCGTCACCTCCTTGGAGGACTGTGTCACCCAGAGTTTCCTGCCTGGCCTACACTTGCTCACCTTTCAGCAGCCACCTAACGCCTCCCAGCCTGATAAGGTGGGAAGCCGGAAGGGGCCTGTGTGGGGTGTTGATGGATCTTTTTTTTGTGTGTGTGTGTGTGGTGTTGGGGATGGATCCCAGGGCCTTGTGCTTGCTAAGTATGCACTCTACCATTGAGCTATATCCCAGTCAAAATGCACCCTAATCATTCATGTTTACCCTGAAAGTCTTTACGTTCAAGAGTGATTTGGACCAGGGGTGGTAGTACACTCCTGTAGTCCCAGCCATTCTAGAGGTGAAGGTAGGAAGATTGCAGTCCAAAGCTGGCCCAGGCAAAAACTCAAGACCACAGCTCAAAAAAACAGTGAAAGCAAAAGGGCAGAGGACATGGCTCAAGTGATAGAGTTACTTCCAAATGGGAAGCCCTGAGTTCAAGCCGTAGTACTGCGGTACATAAATTAAATAAATAAGTAAAGGTCTGATTTGCCACTGAGCAACACCCCAGCCAAGAATGTATTTGTTTTGAGTCAGGGTCTCCCTATGTTGTCAAGGCTGGCTTCAAACTCAAGAGCCTCCTCCCTCTACCTCCCATGCTGGGATTACAGACTTGGAAGGGCTTAGGTGGGAAGATGGGAAGGGAGGGAGCAAGATACCAAAGATTCCAGTCCTGGAGTGTTTTTGTTGTTGTTTGTTTTGTGGTGCTGGGGATTGTTCCAGAACTAAGAACTAAGCACTCCACTACTTGAGTGCATTTCCAACCCTACCCACTCCTGGGGTTTTAGTGTAAGCTGGGGATGAGTGGAGATTGGGGGTTGAGGCAGGCTTTGGGACTCTGTTGTCTACCGTCTGAGTCCTAATTCTTCTCCCAAAAGGATGGTGGGTCAGCCACGTAACTCCACCCCTTGCCTCAGTTTCTCATTGGGTAAAATAGGGAAGGAGGTTGGATTGACCAGTCTTCTTTGGCTCTGATGTGACCCGAGGGGTCGGTGGGCATGGGAACTTGGGGGCAGTTCAGAGACGTGCTCACATGTATGTATCCCTATCCCTGCGGCACAGGTCTCAATTGTCCGCAGTACAACCATCACCCTGACACCCAGCCCAGAGACAGATGTGTCCCTTGTCTACCGTGGCTTTATCCATCCGCTGCTGCCAGGAGGGCCCGGTGGGCCCGGGGCTGGGGATGTGGCTGTGTGGGCCCGGGCCCAGCGCCTACATGTCCTGGCCCGGATGGCCCGTGGCCCTGACACAGAGAACATGGTAAGGGAGCCTGGGGCATTTGGGGTTTTTTTTTTTTTTGGTTGGGATGTGGTACAGGAAAATTGTGATGATGTGATGGTTTTGTGAGAAACTGGGCAGAAATTAGACTTACAGGATGGATCCTTAGAGGAGGAGGGAGACTGAGGTTTTCAACTGTGAACAGAATTTGGGGAAATTTTGAAGTGGGCCTTTGGGGGTTTAAGGGATGCCTTGGAGGTTCTTAGGGTCCAAGAGGCTCTGAGCCTCTCTTTGTAGTAGGAAGTGAGGTCCTAGGGAGCTGGGATTCTGAGGAAGGAGTGTGAAGAGCTCCAAGGGCCATGTCTCACCCTATCCCCAGGAGGAGGTGGGGCGCTGGGCTGCTCAGCAGGAGAAGGAGACAAGACGACTGCAGCGCCCAGGATCCACTCGCCTCTTCCCACTGCCCGGGCGAGGGCATAAGTACGCAGTGGAGATTCAGGGGCAGCTGAATGGCTCAGCAGGCCCTGGGCACAGTGAACTCACTTTGCTGTGGGATCGGACTGGTGTGCCAGGCGGCAGTGTGAGTGCCTAGCCCACCCTTTGACCTGTCTCTGAACCCTAGCCTCAGATCCCCTGGGCTTTCGGAACTTCAGGCCATAAACTCTTGCTCCTGGATCCTGACTTCTAATCCCTGTACTCTTGGCTTTTGAACTCTGGACATCACCTTTAACTTCTGACCACAGACCCTCATCTGATCCCATATTATTTTTTAGGAGGTCCTGAGGATGGAACCCAAGCCCTTGCGCTTGCTGGGCAAGCACCCTACCACTGAGCTACCGCCTAGCCCAGATCCTGTATTCTGATACCTGTCCATACTTGACTTCTCCTGCTTTGACCCCTGCCCTCAATCCTTTGATGTCTAGTCTCTAGACTTGTACCTGACCCCTGTGGTGTGCTAATTTCCTAAATCCTGACTTTACATACTGAGTTCTCATCCTGTCTCCAAACCTGTAACTCCAGTGTTCAGCTCTGAATCCCCAACCCACCCTTAAGCCTGACACTTGGCCCTTGTGTGCCTTGCCTCTAGGAGATCTCCTTCTTCTTTCTGGAGCCCTACCGCTCCTCAGCCTGTGCCTCCTATTCGTCCTGCCTGGGCTGCCTGGCAGACCAGGGCTGCGGCTGGTGCCTGAGCAGTGCCACCTGCCACCTGCGCCAGGGTGGGGCCCACTGTGAGGATGATGGGGCCGGGGGATCCCTGCTGGTGCTAGTGCCTGCTCTCTGCCCACTCTGTGAGGAGCATCGTGACTGCCACGCCTGCACCCAGGTGCCTGCTGTGTCACAGGGGATCTCAAGATGAGGCAGACAGAGCAGGAGACTGGGACAGGGACCCTAGACCTGGCATGGGCAGCCAAGAGTCCCTGATGAAGCTAGGGTCAAGGATCAGGCAAGAGCCAGGTGGGGAGTAGGGGCAATGGGTTTTGAAAGATGGGTACCTGTGAGTCAGGACATGCCCTGTCACAGTAGCCAGAAAATACATGTGAACCCCTTTCCCCTGAGGGGATTTATCCTCTCTAGCTTGAAGGAGGTCTAGGCCTGCTAGCTCCAGCTGTTTAATGTTCATCTCTCTCAGCTCTGTATTCTCTTGTTCCCTGGTACGGTTTTTTCTAGTGACAATGGAGCCACAGTGCTCCAGACTCATCACATACCCAGCCCCAAGGAGAAAAAGTCTTTTTCTGTCCCACCCCACCCCGAAGTTCAACTGAAGACCCAGAATTCTGGGTCCTAGTGTGGTGAATCATGCCTGTAATCCTAGCTACTTGGGATGCAGAGATTGGGAGGATTAAGGTTTGAGGCCAGTTTAATCAAAAAGTTCTCAAGACCCCATGTCAATAAGTCAGGTGTAGTGGTACTTGTCTGTCACCCCAGCTACTTGGGAGACTTGTAGGCAGAAGATCATTTTGCCCCAGTGAAAATGTGAGTCCTACCTGAAAAGTACTTAAAACAAAAAAGGGCTGGGGGTGTGGCTCAAGTGACAGAGCACCTGCCTAGCAAATGTGAGGCTCTGAATTCAACCCCCAGTACCACTAAAAAAAAAAAAAAATTTTTTTTAAAAAATCCCCAAATTCTGATTCATTGGGTGGTTCTGGACGGTTCTTGTGTAGACTCCTAACCAGTTACTGAGGTTGGGAGGGATTGTGGCCCCCTGGTCACCTCTGAGTTGTAAGGATTGAATCTGCCCATTGGGTCCCCAGACAGTGGGTGCTGGGCAGGCAGAATGCAGATGTCTGTGAAGGGATGCAACCATTGGGGACAGAGAGGTTGGAAGCTGTGGATGGGGGTGGGGGCAAGTGAGGGAGGTAGCTGCTTGTTGAGCAGATGATGGGTGAGGCACTGGGGGCTCAGAGAGTGGACTAAACTGGGCTCTGACTCCTTGCCTAATACCCTCTGCCCAGGACCCCTTCTGTGAGTGGCACCAGAGCACCAGCCGCAAAGGGGATGCAGCATGTAGCCGGCGGGGCCGGGGTCGGGGTGCCCTGAAGAGCCCAGAGGAATGCCCCCCACTCTGCAGCCAGTGAGCCAGGCAGGACCCAGGGGTGGGTGGGTGTGCATGGGAGCAGGACTGGAATGACATGACCCCTGCTCCCCACTGCAGGCGCCTGACTTGTGAGGACTGCCTGGCCAACTCCAGCCAGTGTGCCTGGTGCCAGTCCACCCACACCTGCTTCCTGTTTGCTGCCTACCTGGCCCGGTACCCACATGGGGGCTGCCGTGGCTGGGATGACAGGTGTGCTCCTGGGGCCAGGGCTCATGGAATGAGGTTCCAGACTGGCAAGGAGGTACCCAGGCTCTGAAGTCCCCACACCTGTCACCCTGCAGTGTGCACTCAGAGCCACGGTGCCGGAGCTGTGGTGGCTTCCTGACCTGCCACGAGTGTCTGCAGAGCCACGAGTGCGGCTGGTGTGGCAATGAAGACAACCCCACTCTGGGACGGTGAGTGGGATGGTGGAGGAGGACAGTGAGGGGGCCTGGCTGGTGGCGTGGAGAACGTGGTTTTCTCTTCTCGTGACTCTAACGACCTCTTTGTTTCTCTGACCCCCATCCTCTGGCTTCTCTTCCTTCTCTTCACTGTCCTCTACCTCTCTTTTTATTGTCCCTCTTTTTTCTTTTCTCTTTTTCCTTCTTCATTCTTTCCCTGTTTCTGTTTTCTCTCGTTCATCTTGTTTTCATTCTGTTCCTGTCTCTGTCACTGTTTCCCTGTCTCTATATTGTTCCCCTTGCAGGTGCCTACAGGGGGACTTCTCAGGGCCCCTGGGAGGGGGGAACTGCTCCCTGTGGGTGGGCGAGGGCCTGGGGCTGCCTGTGGCCCTCCCTGCCCGCTGGGCTTATGCCCGCTGTCCAGATGTGGATGAGTGTCGCCTGGGACTGGCGCGTTGTCACCCTCGGGCGACCTGCCTAAACACGCCTCTCAGCTACGAATGTCATTGCCAGCGTGGCTACCAGGGTGATGGCATCATCCACTGCAATCGCACGTGAGTGAGGCAGGGGTTGCATTCCTGGGATGTTGCCCAGGAATGGGGCTCAAATTGGAGGGAGGAAGCTACCATGGTTCTGGGCTCCCTCTGAGGAATCAGTATCCCCATTTAGCCTGAAATTTTCACCCTACAGACTAGGACCTCATTGAGTGGCAGGGTCCTCAAGGTAACTCTAGTTGCCATGGAAACATGACACTCATAGACTGTGGGTCTTAATCTTCGGCATTGCTGTAGAGATGGAGGAGGACCTAGTTGAAAGGGGGTTTTCACAGTGGTGCTATGTGGTTGCTATGGAGATAAGCATCACCACGTGTGATGGAGTTGCCTTGGCGACAGGGTCACCCACACAACCCAGAACTGTGGAAACAGGCAGCCACTTATGATGGTATTGTTGTGGGTGGAGATGATGGTGTGCTTTGGGATGCACATCCTGGCCATGATTCCCCAGGTGCCTGGAAGACTGTGGCCATGGTGTATGCAGTGGCCCGCCAGACTTTACCTGTGTGTGTGACCTGGGCTGGACATCTGACCTGCCCCTACCCACACCTGCCCCGGGGCCCCCCGCCCCTCGCTGCTCCCGAGACTGTGGCTGCAACTTCCATAGCCATTGCCGTAGGAGGGGGCCTGGCTTCTGTGACGAGTGTCAGGGTGAGCAACTGAATTCCCAGGATGCTTGAGGGGTCTCCTCCCTTCTTGGGCTCCAGCTTCCTTCTCTGAGTGGGCTTCACTCTCCCCTGAGGCAGCACTGAGTCTCTTGCCCTAGTCCCTGCTCCTGACCCAAGTGAGTTTCAGTGCCACCATCTATACCTGGGCATCACTCCCACTTTGGAACTTACTGTTTCTCCCTAGCCCAGGCCTTGGTTTCCTTCCTTTGCAGCCACTGGGGAGGAGATCAGGGATTGGTAGAGCCAGTTGGTCTGGGCTCCTTTCTGTCCTTGCCTCTGACTCTGTGTCCCATCTGCTGGGACCTCCACAGACTGGACATGGGGGGATCACTGCGAACGGTGCCGGCCTGGTAGCTATGGCAATGCCACAGGCTCAGGTGGCTGCCGGCCCTGCCAGTGCAATGGGCATGGGGATCCACGCCGTGGACACTGTGACAACCTCAGCGGGCTCTGCTTCTGTCAGGATCATACTGAGGGTGCCCACTGTCAGCTTTGTTCCCCGGGCTACTACGGGGACCCCCGGTGAGCCAGGGGCCAGCAGGGTTGGGGAGGTTGGGCTTGGGAAATGGTGGGGTGGGGTAGGACTGGTCTGATGCTGGCTCTTCTCCATCTGCACAGGGCTGGTGGCTCCTGCTTCCGGGAGTGTGGAGGTCGTGCCCTCCTCACCAATGTGTCCTCAGTGGCTTTGGGCTCCCGCCGGTTTGGGGGACTGCTGCCTCCAGGTGGTGGGGCTGCGAGAGCTGGGTCTGGCCTGTCCTACTGTGTGTGGGTTGTCTCAGCCACTGAGTTGTTACAGCCCTGTGCCCCTGGGACCCTCTGTCCGCCACTCACCCTCACCTTCTCCCCCGACAGCAGCACCCCCTGCACGGTGAGCACTGAGGGACTAGGGTTCAGCTCGTAAGCCAGATCTCTTTATCAGATAGACCCAGCCCCTATGTCAAACTCTGTTCCTCAGATCATCCAGCCCTTTGATCCTAAGCTGTCAAATCCTACCATTTCCCAGTTCTCCTGTTTCCTCGACTCCCATCTCCCACTTTCTTTTTCTTCAAACTCCCCTTCCCCAGACCAGAAATCTTAACTTTCTTTCTTTCGTGTGCTAGCTCTGATCAATTGGTGGTGGCTGCCAGGAGCTGTGTGTTGAGAAAGAGACTCAGTGCAAGGGTGCCTGATGGATTAGCCATATCTGCTTGGAACATAGGAATGGGAGGGACAGCCTCCGTGCCACAGCATGATGGTTTGCCCTGGACTACAAACAGCCCATTCCCAGACTGCCCTGTGTTCTTTTATTTATTTATTTTTAACACAGGGTCTTGCTATGTAACCTAGTCCGGGCTCACACTTATTATCCTCCTGCCTTACCTTTCTAAGTAGCTGGGGTTATAGGCATGTGCCACCACACCCAGCTCTGCCCTCTCCTCCTCCTTCCGGACCTCAGGTGCCCTTCTTTCTCATTCTTATGGTCCCCTAACTCTTGACTTTGCACCCCTCCAGCTGAGCTACGTCCTGGCCTTTGATGGATTCCCACGCTTCCTGGACACTGGTGTCGTTCAGTCAGACCGTAGTCTCATTGCTGCCTTCTGTGGCCAGCGGCGGGACAGGCCCCTCACTGTGCAGGCCCTGTCTGGTATGGGGGCTGTGGCATTGGGACCTCTCTGGGCTTTTTTTCTTTGTGGTGCTGGGGATGGAACCCTCCTATTAGGCAAGTGCTCTACCACTGAGCTATGCCCCAGCCTTGCCCTGGGCTGTGTATCCCTTGCTCCTACATTTGTCAGATATCTGATTGGATTTAGGACCCAGGTTCTAGACTCGGGACTGCCATAGACTTGCAAGGTAACAGTCCCTTAACAGGATGATGCAGCTTCTCTGCATTTCTGGGCCTCATCTGAGGAAAGTAGGGAGGATTTTGTTGGTTGGGCTGGTTCTGGAGAGAAGGGACAAGTCGGGCATGTCTTTGGGGCATGTAGAACATGACTGGTATGAGGGTTCCTGGCATCTCCTTAGCCTTGTGATTTTCAACCAAAAAAGGTTTTTGTCCCTCGGGTGGAGATGCGGTAGAAAGAATTTGTTATGAAGGCCAGGTTTTTTGTTTTGTTTGCTTGCTTGTTTTTTTGTGCTAGGGTCCCACTATGTAGCTCAGACTGGCCTTGAGCTCACTGTGTAGCCCATGCTGGCCTCAGACTTCCAGTACCCCTGCCTCCCCCTCCCAAGTACCAGGATTATAAGTGTGCACCACCACACCTGACTCAGACCAGATTTTGGAAATGTTTCTCTTTGTGTTGTGAGTCAGAACAGCTCTGAGGCTGGAGGCAAAGGGGCAGATTAGAGATGGCATGCTGGATTGTATGAACACCAGATCCCACATCAAGCCTCCAGAACCAGAGGGACTTTATTGTAGTCAGTGCATGTTTATTGAGCACCCACACTGAGCTGCCCTGATCTAGATGCTGGGGTACAGCAGTGTGCAAGGGACACGGGCACTCGGAGTTGAAGGGGCAAACTGCCTGGAACGATGTAGTAGACTCAGAACAGTTGGTCTTTCCCTGAGGCAGTGGATAGGTCCCAGGCTTACCTGGGTGACTGAAGGCTGGGGAGGGCTTCTTTGCAGAAGTGAATTTGGCTGGAGCCAGGAAGCTGGGGCCTAGGGAGGGCTGCTCCTTCAGGCTGGACATAGCAGATATCAAAGTACTGAGAGCAGGGTAAAAGGGCCAGGCTAGGACTGGGACACACAGGATGGGGAGAGTTGGAGACCTTGAGATTGAAGAGTCTGTAGGACCCTCTAGGCCCCAGAAGGGGGAACTCTTTGTGTGTGTGTGTGTGTGTGTGTGTGTGCTCACGCGCGCGTGTGTGTCACTGGGGATTCAACTCAGGGCTTAGTACTTGCCATGCCCTGAATCCTTTTGTTTTTAGTTTGTTTTTCAGATAGCTTGTCATGGTCACTTTGCCTGATCTGGCCTCTAATCACAATCCTGTCTCTGTCTCCTGTGTAGCTGGGGCCACAGGCTTGTGCCACCACGCTATGCCCTTTTAAATACAACTTTATTGAGGCATATTTTACACATCATAACACATTGTATAATTAATTTCTGCTCCTCCATTCATGAAACCGCTACTCTTTCTAAGAACATTGGGGAGCTGTGGAAGATACAATGTCTGCCTGTGCCATGGCTAGGTTCATATTTGTATGAATGATGTGGGCTGCAGGAAGAGTGAAGCATAGGGCAGCCTTAAGATTGGGAGATGGAGTTGGTGTCCAGGTGATACGAGATACTGGCTTGGATGACACCTGAGGAGTGGCAAGCAATGGGCGAATGGGAGAGAGATGTAAGCTTTATTTCTTTCTTTCGTGTGGTGCTTGTGATCAAACCCAGGGTCTCATGTATGGTAGGCATGTGCTCTACCACTGAGCTACAGTCCTAGCCTGAGATTTAGGCTTTAAAATGGACAGAACTTGAAGTTGGCCAAGGGAGGGATGTGCAGAAGAAAAGTTCATCATGGTAGTGACTCTACATAACTGGGTGCCCTGCTTCCCTGCTCCATTACGTTGGGTTTTCTCCATCCCTAGGGGAACAAGGCCCAGAATGTGGCTTTGACAAGCCTTCTGCCTCTCCCCACAGGGCTGCTCGTCCTGCACTGGGAGGCCAATGGATCTTCGTCCTGGGGCTTCAACGCCTCAGTCGGCTCCGCCCGCTGTGGGTCTGGGGGCCCTGGGAGCTGCCCCGTCCCCCAGGAATGTGTGCCCCAGGATGGAGCTGCAGGTGCTGGGCTCTGCCGATGTCCTCAGGGCTGGGCTGGTCCACACTGTCGCATGGCTCTGTGTCCTGAGAACTGCATGCACACACAGGGTCTGGGATTTGTAACCAGGTACAAATGGGAAAGGGCCAGACAGGTGGGATAGGAGTGGTGATCAGGGCTCCCCTGAGCCTCTTATCTGCTGTCCCCAGAGCCTGGGTGTATGCATCTGTGCTGAGGGCTTCGGGGGTCCGGACTGTGCCACGAAGCTGGATGGTGGGCAGCTGGTCTGGGAGACTGTCATGGACAGCCGCCTGTCAGCCGTGAGTTGGGGCCCACTGGGTCTGTTTCATGGACCATTTCCCCACCTGCACTCCTGGGGACCATCCCTAACCCTCCACCTAAGCCTGACTTTGTCATGACCTTAGCCTGATCCCTGGTCCTCCCACCCACCCTCAGGACACTGCTAGCCGCTTCCTGCACCGCCTTGGGCACACTATGGTGGAGGGACCTGATGCCACATTGTGGATGTTTGGGGGTCTGGGTCTGCCCCAGGGGCTGCTGGGAAACCTATACAGGTGAGAACTGCTCTGGGGAAGTGGGATATTTGAATGAGAGATGTTACTTCAGGGGCTGCTGAGATCTGTCACCTGAGTTATATCAGGAGGGTACAGAAAACTCCGAGGTGAGGGACACTCCAAAGGATGTTGGGACACTTTTCATAGGAGGCTTATCTGTGGACACTCAGCATTGGGGTACTGTTTGAGTGGTGTTGCCTAGGGGATGGTAAGATGGCTGTCATAGGAAAGTCACCCCAAGGGATGCTGGGACCTCTGTCAGGAAGGGTCCCCTTAAAGAATGTTGGGATGATCTTACAACAAGGCTGCATTTTTGCCTCTTGGCCCCAGGTACTCTGTAAGTGAGCGGCGGTGGACTCAGATGCTGGCGGGAGCTGAGGATGGGGGCCCAGGCCCATCACCCCGCTCCTTTCATGCAGCTGCCTATGTGTCCGCTGGTCGTGGTGCCATGTATCTGCTGGGAGGGCTCACAGCTGGGGGCATCACCCATGACTTCTGGGTCCTTAACCTTACCACCCTGCAGTGGCGGCAGGAGAAGGTGAGCATATGTTCCACCCCAGCCCTGTCCCCCAAGCCAGGCTTAGGAATGATGACCGTAGTAGCTCTTGCCAGCTTTGCCACCAGAGGAAACAATGACCTTCTGGGGTTCTAGCAGCAGTCCCAGATTTGGGAGCTGGGGAGGTAGTTCAGTGGTAGAGCATGTGCACAAGGCCCTGGGTTCCATCCCCCCGACTGCAAAAAAAAAAAAAAAGTCTAAGAATTGAATTTCACTGGCTGACCCCAGTGATGTAGTCCCAAGAAGATTCCTCACCAAGGGCCTGTGATGGCTCTGATTTACCAGGCTGGGACAGAACCCCACCTAGGCACAGAGTGAGAACAGAGGAGCAAGGGCTTCCCAAAGACTCAGTAAGTTTATAGGGCCTAAGATGGAGCCAGCAGAACTAACTAGAACCTGCTGAACAGCTGCCAGGCCTGGGAGGCCAGGGTCTGACCAGCCCCAGGGAGCTCACTACTCCTTAGCACTCAGAGGGGACCGTGGGGCTGAGTCTTGCTTCTGCTCACAAGGTGACCTTGGCCCTCCATCCCACAGGCCCCTCAGACTGTGGACTTACCAGCAGTTGCTGGCCACACCCTGACTGCACGTCGAGGCCTGTCTCTGCTCCTAGTGGGTGGCTACTCTCCTGAAAATGGCTTCAACCAGCAGTTGCTGGAGTACCAGCTGGCAACTGGCACCTGGGTGTCCGGAGCCCAGAGTGGGACACCTCCCACAGGTGGGGCTGCAACCAAAGCCATCCAGGGCTTTGCAAAGGCTCTCTGTCTACTCCCATATTCTGGTTGCTGTACCTTCTTATCTCACTGTCGCCCCCTCAGGCTATCCGTAATTCCAGGGAGCCATCTCTGGCAATGTTCAGTTTCTCTGTTTACTCCCCAGACTCCATGAGGAACCAACCACCTCCTGCCTAGAGTGGCCACTGTCTTCCTCCCCCAAGCTCTAAGATCACCACCCTTCAGGGATTCTTTTCTTTCTGTCTTTCTAAGTGCTTTGAACACTGTCCCCTAGACATTCTGTCACACTCCTACAAGCCAGTCATAACTTCCCAGCCATTAGTTACTCTGACCTTTCCTGGAGTGTCTAATGGTCATCCTCCAGAACCCGAGGGGAGCCCAGGAGGTTGGCTGGGGTGGGGCAGGGGGACACAGGCCGTTGGCCCTTCCCATCATCTCTGTGGTCATCCTGCCCCTCCAGGTCTCTATGGTCATTCTGCAGTCTACCATGAAGCCACCGACTCCCTTTATGTGTTTGGGGGCTTCCGCTTCCACGTGGAACTGGCAGCCCCATCCCCAGAACTCTACTCCCTGCACTGTCCTGACCGTACCTGGAGCCTGCTGGCCCCTTCTCAGGGGGCAAAGGTCAGGAAAAGTGGGCCAAACAAATGGCTATGTGGGGCAGAGCAAGTTTCCTCCCTCTCCAAGTGCTGCAAGGCCTGGTTCCCTGCTGGGTTCCTGCTCCCTCCCTTTCCAGTCTCTTGCATTGAACTCTGACATCCCCAGGTTTCCTCTTTTTCCATCTCTGATTTGGAGGAAAGAATCCTTGGGTAGGAGGTCAGAGGCCTGGGTTTTGTCTCAGCTCTGCCCTGACTCTGTGTGGCCCTGGAAGTTTCCTGCCTCTTCCTGGGTGCTCCATCTATGAAAAGTAGGACTGAGACACCTTGTGCCTCTTGCCTTACAAGGCCAAAGAGATAGGGTATGGAGGATCAGTGAGCATTGGCTGGCAAGGACAGTTGTGCGCAGTCTGCACACACATTCCTAAGCCACTCTTGGGGGACAGGGAGCCTCGTGTCCCCAGCCAGCTGGCTGAAACACTGAGAATTGTAAGTTTTCATCTCAAGGGACTTGGGCCAAGTTCATGGGAGTAACATGGGTTGTGAAAGCTAGGGGTTCCGGGGAAGAGAGATGGTTCTGTGGGCTGCTCCAAGGGGTCCAGGAGGTTTCTTAGAGGGAGGAAGTGAGACTTGAGGAAGGGGAAGATTGGCCAAGCTGGTGGGGGCAGGGAGGAAAGTTTAGGGGTGGCAGGTGGGCTGGGAGGAAGCATGTGAAAGAAGGGACTGGCCTCTGATAGTCCATCCCTGCAAATGTCTCAACAGCCCCGCCCCCGACTTTTCCATGCTGCGGCCTTGCTAGGAGACACCATGGTGGTGCTTGGGGGGCGCTCAGACCCTGATGAGTTCAGCAGTGATGTTCTGCTCTACCAGGTTAACTGCAACACCTGGCTCCTGCCTGATCTCACTCGTAAGTCCCTATTGCTTTCCTGGGAGGCTGGGGGACATCAAGGGAAAGCCTTGTCCCTGTCCTAGGACTCCCAACTCAGCAGAAGTCACTCAGGCCTCCTCAAACCCATTTGCAAAGCTCCTGTCTTCTGCTAAAGACCCCAGAAGTGCTTTTCTTTCTTCATTTTTTATTCTCATTATAAAAGTGACAAAATTCATTGTACATGATTTATAAAATTGGAGGGAAAAGACCGCCCATAGCCCCACACTTTAGAGACAGCCACTGCCATATGTGGGGATTTGCCTTCCTTTCAAGTTTGCTGTTCATGGCTTAGAAATGGGCCTATAGCTTGCCTTTATTTTATTTTTTTGCTGTGCTGAGGATGGAACCTAGAGCCTAGGGTGCTAGGCAAGCACTTTACTGCTGAGCCACACTCCAGCCCTTATCTTGCGTTTTCATTTCATTTATTATTATAAGTAACTGTGTGTGTGTTTCTGGGTCTGTTTCCTCTCTGATCCTCTTTTTCTAATTCCCTTTTCTTATTAATCTACCTTCCAATATTCTGTTTCTGTCTCTCTCTTTTTAAGGACTTAAAAAAGCTGAAGTGAAATTCATGTAACATAAAATTAACTATTTTATAATGATTGATAGAGCTGGATATAGTAGCACAGGCCTGTAATCCCAGCATTCGGGAGGCTGAGGCAAGAGGATTATGAGTTTGAGGATAGCCTGGGCTATACCCTGTCTCAAAAAATCAAGGGTTGAGGATATAGTTCAGTGGTAAAGCACCTGCCTAGTATGCATTAAGGCCCTCAGTTCAATTCCTGCACCAAAAACAAAAATAACAATAAGAAAATCAATAGAGCTTGGGGTGTAGTTAAAAGTGCTTGCCTTACATATGAAACGCCTGAGCACTGCAATAAATAAATAAAATGATTGCTTCACTGGTATTTAGAGCCTTTACAACTGGTAACCTCCATCTTGTTCCAAAATATTTGTCTCTGCTCTTACTGCCCCTCTTCGTTCCTTCCTTCCTTCTTCCCCTCCTTCCCTCCTTCCCTCCTTGATAGGGTCTTCCTATGTAGCCGGGACTGACCTTGAACTTGAGACCCTCCTGCCTCATCCTCTCAAGTGCTGGGACTGTTTATTTCTCTTTGTCTGCTTTTTCTTCCTCTCTTTTGCCATCTGTGTAATTCTCCTGTTTATTCTGCTTTGTGTCTCCTTTCTGCCTGCGTCTGTCTCTTCCCTCTTTTGACTCTATTTTTGTCCTCTTTGGGTCTCCCTCCTGTCTGGCTGCCTTTGTATGGATCTCTTCCCTGCGACTTCTGCTCTGTATCTCTGAACAGGCCTGGCCTCTGTGGGATCCCCGATGGAAGAGTCTGTAGCCCATGCCATGGCAGCAGTGGGGAGCCGCCTGTACATATCTGGGGGATTTGGGGGAGTGGCCTTGGGCCGCCTGCTGGCACTGACCCTGCCCCCTGACCCCTGCCGCCTGCTGCCCTCACCTGAAGCTTGTAACCAGTCTGGGGCCTGCACCTGGTGCCGTGGAGCCTGCCTATCTGGGGACCAGGCACACAGGTAACCATATCGACTGACAGCCCACTGCACAGTACTTGTGCCCTCTGAGAGGGGCTCTGTGTTAGGTCAGGCCTAGAGGGAGGCCTTGGGACTAATCTGTCTGGTTTGAGGTATGTGCTCACATACAGGAAAGTGGGTGAATCATCACAGGCAGGGGTGGCCTCGGGCAGCTCCAGTGGGGAGCTTTGCTGGGATCTTATTCTAGAGCAGCTGTGTCCTAACTGACCCCTAAATAACCAGTAAAGTTTAAATCAGCAAAGTCTCAAAGTGGGGCTGCGCTTGGCATATTTGAGAGACCGTCTGTATTGGAGGGGTGGGTGTGGTCAGACGCACAGTTCCTCCATCTGCAGTTCAGGAGTCCAAACATCTCTGGAAGCCAAGAGGCTCATGGTTTGTATCAACTTTCACTGCTTAATGATCCTGATGTGAAGTTATTCATGGACTTTGTCCCCTGAAACATGCCATTACATATGTGGCAGGGATATTAGTGGGTTTGATTATGGGATATGACCTCAGCACCCCTGGGTCTGTGTGCAACAGCAGGAACACTGCTGCTTTCTAAAACCTGGAAAATTATGTAACATGACCTCCTCCAAGAATTTGGATGAGGGATTGTAGACCTTCACCGTGGGTGGCGGGGAGCCATGGAAGATTGGAATTGGAAGAGACAGGGCCGGCATGAGCAGAGGTATTCTGGAACTGTTGTGAGGGGAGTAGGCAGGGGAGACCTAGATATGGCTGGGGTGAGAACAGCCCTGAATTGGGTAGGGGTGGCACAGAGGAGGGGACAGTCAGAGAGATTCAGGAGGCAAAAGGCCTCAGTGACTGTAGGGGCAGGAGAACATGGGGTGTTTTCTGATGTCTCTAGCCCAGGAGACAGGTGGACATGGGACATCTATCACCAAGGGGTGAGAAGGACCAGGATTTGGTGGTTCATGTAGGGACACAGTTTGGAGAGGTTGTAGGATGATGTCCAAGAGGCAGAAGGATGGGGCCTGGCTGGGTGTGAGTGAGCCAGGCCTCATGCCCTGCAGGCTGGGCTGTGGAGGCACCCCCTGCTCCCCAATGCCTCGCTCCCCGGAGGAATGTAGACGACTCCGGACCTGCAGTGAGTGCCTGGCCCGCCATCCCCGGACCCTACAGCCTGGAGATGGAGAGGTGAATGGGTGGGGGTATCAAGGAGCAGTGGGTAGAGGGATAGGGAGGTCCTGGTCTCCACTCTTTTCTGCTGCCCTGCCTACCTTAGGGTCTCAGGAACCACGGTGCCCTTCAGCTGTGATTGGGTGGGAAAAGCTATGTCAGGAGGGTGCTGGGGTTCCCCCTGCAGACCCTACTGAGCCTGTCTTCCCTTGCCAGGCACCTGCCCCTCGCTGTAAGTGGTGTACCAACTGCCCCGAGGGTGCCTGCATCGGGCGCAATGGGTCATGCACCTCCGAGAATGACTGTCGGATCAATCAACGAGAGGTTTTCTGGGCAGGGAACTGTTCAGAGGCTGCGTGTGGGGCTGCTGATTGCGAGCAGTGCACACGGGAAGGCAAGTGCATGTGGACACGGCAGTTCAAAAGGACTGGTGAGTCCGTGGACTTGGTCCTCGAGAGGAGAGTTTAAGGGTCAAGATTTCTGAGTCTGAGGGAGAAGGACTGGGCTTGGACTACTAGGTCTGAGGAGAAGAGGGTTGGAGCCTAGACTTCTGGGTCTGAGAGAAGAAGGTTAGGGTCTGGATTCCTGGGTCTAAGAGAAGAGGACTGCTGGGGCCTGGACCCCTGAGGCTGAGGGAGGAGAGATGAGGCCTGAATTTCTGAGTCTGAGGGAGGAGGGGTGGAGACCTGGACCCTGGGTCTGAGAGATAAGGGTCTAGAGTTGGGTCTAGACTTTAGGTCTGAGGGAGGAGGGGCTGGGGGGCCCAATGGATACTAATTCCTGTGCCTCCAATCCCAGGGGAGACCCGCCGCATCCTCTCAGTGCAGCCTACCTATGACTGGACGTGCTTCAGCCACTCTCTGCTGAATGTGTCCCCGATGCCTGTGGAATCATCCCCACCATTGCCCTGCCCCACCCCTTGTTATCTCCTCCCCAACTGTACCTCCTGCCTGGACTCCAAAGGTGCAGATGGGGGCTGGCAGCACTGTGTCTGGAGCAGCAGCCTCCAACAGGTACTGCCCTGGTTTGCAGTGCCAGACCCTGGCCTTTCTTCCCCATCAATCCTCATTCCTCTATCCCTCTAGTTCTAGCCCCACCCCCGTTTGTCCTTCCATCTCTTTCTCTGCTCTCTATCTTATACATCTCTGGTCACACTCTGGATCTCTAGCTCTTTTTAATGGGATCCCTGCCCCAGCCTTTCCTTGGCCCCTAATGCCATGTCCCCTCAGCCTCCCTCTCTGCTTCCCTCCTCCATCTCTTGCCCTGTCTGCATTGGGAGCTGTTGGTTGTAAGCAACAGAACAACAGAACCCCCCTCTGGCTGCTGCTGTTATAAGGAATTGGGGGTGTTCGATGAAATGTGAGAACAGGAAGTACTGCTGCTCTGTTGCTCTTGGGTCATGTGGCCTGTAATCTCAGATTCTCTACACATTTGCGTCCTTCAGTTTTCTTTAGCACACATGGCTGCAAGTGTGGCCTTGATTCTCAGCCTGTGTGAACCTTTCTAATTCCTGAAGCTATTATTCCCCTCTGTCATTGGTTAGTTTCTGGTCTCAAGGAGAGACTGACCCTGCTCATGAGTCAGTTGTCCAATGTTAGTCCAATAAGACAAGCCCAGGGAGGGCTAGGAGTGCATGGTTCAAACAGGACGGGCAGGCCAGGGACTCATCTATGTGTGCGGGTTGGAGAGGTAATTGGTGGAGGTGGATTTGGCCTGGGCAGGCACTGTATGTCTGGGACAGTCTGCACATTCCATCTGTTTCTAGGATGTCCACCTCCCATGACTTAGCTGTCCCAGTGGCAAAGACATTTGCCTCCCCGTCTCCTTAAGAGAAAGACAAAACAGATCTACTTCTGCTGTTACATCTAGCAAAAAATGGCCTGATACCTACTCAGGTCCACTCATTCACACCTGGATTGTGCAGGACCCAGTGGCATAATGCCTTCTCACCCAACCATGGCCCATGGCCTGTGATCCATCCAGCCACTGCCCCTCACCAGGTAGCCAACAGTACAGGGAAATAGGACACTTGCCATTAGAACTTCCATTTTGAGAGGTGACTATAGAAAAGAAAAAAGAAATTAGCAGTGTTTCCAGCATACTCCAGGAGGGCAGGGCGCAGAGGGTCAAAGGCATCTAGAGCTAGAAGCCCTGCTTAGGAGTGGCATGTTGGCTCATTTGCCCTGTGATCAAATGGCCCATCATTTCCTAACTGTTTTACTTTGGTAAGTGACTTCCCCTCTCTTAAGCCTCCATGAATGTCTGATGAGTGGGAGTCATATAACAGACTCCATCCTACAGGGAGGTTGTACCAGTTAAGTGGGAGAATTTGCTTAGGGCATGAAACTACCTGCATTCAGCAAGGACTCAGTAGTGGCTGCTACTATGGTAATGAACAGTAGTGGGAGGGTCTGGGAGGGCTAGATCTAGCTGTCCCAAGCACTGCCCACTGGAACCTTCCCCCTGTCTGTGACAGGCTAAGAATCCCTGTGATGGTTCTACACGGGGCTCTGTGTGGCAGAATGCAGAGGCCTTGGTGGTTTTGGTTTGCAACAAACAGATGCCTTTTGTTATCAAACTGGGGTCCTTCTGGCAATACAGGCCCTCCCCAGATATTCTTGAGAATTTTCATGGTTTGGCTGTGTGTGTGTGTGTGTGTGTGTGTGTGTGTGTGTGTGTGTGTGTTATAGGGGATTGAACTCAGGGCCTCAAGCTTTTAGTTTATTTGGCTGGCCTCTAACCTCAATGCTCCACCTCCTGAGTAGTTGGGATTACAGGTGTGTGTGCCACCACACCAGCCACTGATTTGTTTTTTGTGAGGATTTCCAGGAAAGGAAAGCAAAACCAGAGCCTTACCTAGCCCTCCATGCCTATCAGGCTCAGATGCCTATAGAGCCCAGGCAAGTGAGGAAATGGAATAGCCAGGGGAGGAGGCAGGAGAATGTGGTGGGACCAGTAAGCTGGAGGGCACAGTCTGTCTACTGGGACCAGACAGCCAGCACTAAGCGTGAGACTGTGAGGCGACTTCTGCTAGATCTTTTGAGACCTGTTGTAGTTTGACTCAAAAGGGCTGCCAGATTGGTATCATAAGCCTTGTTCTTGTCTGTACTAGGGTTTGTATTCTACCACTTCAGCCAAGCACCCCCCCCCCACCTCCTTTTTTGCTTTGATTGGATAGATTTCAGACTTTTGCCTGAGGCACAGAGCTCCTCCAGTCTCTGCTTGGGAGCTAGGATTGTGTTGAGCCACCACTCCCAGCCCCTGGCATTGTTTTTTGTGTGGGCTCAAACATCTGAGCACCCTTCTCCCTGGTCTGCCTCCTTCATTATTTGGCCTTGAGCATCTTCCTTGGGCACTTGCTAGGCTGTTCAGTCTGTCAACAGACAAGCTCGGATCCTGCTCTTGGAACTTAGGTTCACACATCTCCTAGCAGCACTAGAAATGCAGTTTGTTGGTGTTGGGCATCGGCACATTTGTCACTAGGCAGGTCATAGCAGAAAGTGTCATTCAGGACTGAAAACTCTGGGTGCTCTGCCCCTTCCCAGATTGCTCTACCATCTGCATTTAGATTGGATGTCCAGCCTAGGAGAGAGGTTTTTCTTCAAGTTTTTTTTTTTAAGCAAGAAAAAGACATTGCTGGTAGTAGTGGTGCATGCCTATGGTCCCAGCACTCAGGTGGCTGAAGCAGGAGGATTGACAGTTGGATGTCACACAATAAGACCCCCGCCTCAAAAATCAAAACAAATCCAAGAAAAAGCACACAGTATTTATTACATGCTGCAGACCTGGGAGGGTCAGACTGGCTGACAGAGACTTGGCATCTGGCAGTGTAGCCCTTAGTGGGCTCAGAGCTCCAGCCACAGCAATCAGAGTTTCTATTTCAGGATTGCACGGTTGCTTTATGTCTTCCTAAGTGCTTTTGGGCAACCAGCCCACATGAATCTTTTCCCTCTTATACTTTACTTAATGCCAAGTAGTAAATAAAATGCTCTTATTCCCAAGGACCTGAACCTCACTGTGCATGTGGTCTGGGTCTTAGATCCCAACACATAAGTGATGGCTGTGAACTGCTGTGTGGCCCCTCACCCAACCTCCTGCCTGGTTTGGGAGAAGCCCTTTTCCCAACAGCCAACTCTGCATTTACTCTAAGAGGCTGTGGCTTGTAACCCTGTCCTGACATTCTTTGGTGTCCCTCGCCCCAACCCCCCACCCCAGCCACTGCCTGTCTTTAGCTGAAAGAGAAGCATTCTGACCGGGTAGGGAAAATTAAGCCACTACACCAGTGCAGTACTACCTTTGGGATATGGAAGCATAGCTGTGCCTCACAGGGGCCTCAGACTGATGTAGAAAGTTGCCCCTCTCTCTTGTTCCTCCATCCTGGTGATATAAGGTCTCATGTCTGCTTACCTGTACCTATTTTCCTGCCCTTCCATGTCCTCTGCATTTGCTTGTCGTCGTCTCATCCAAATGTCTCTCCAATCCAAGTCTGCATGATCTTCCCACTTTAGGACCTCCCTGGCCTAACTTCTGGTCTTAATGTCTAGTTACAAAGCCTTGAGAGGGAGCGAGTGATGGTCTAGCTAGTATTCTGGGGTAACTGGGGCCCAAGAGGCAGGGCCTCAGAGAGGAGGGTACTGTCTTGGGAAATTGCCACAATATATTTGACCTTTCTCTTCCTCTCTCTTCCTCACTCTGTTTCCCCTCCTGGACAGTGTCTGAGCCCCTCCTACCTGCCCCTGAGATGTATGGCTGGAGGCTGTGGGCGGCTGCTGCGGGGGCCCGAGAGCTGCTCCCTGGGATGTGCTCAGGCTACCCAGTGTGCCCTGTGCCTGCGGCGCCCCCACTGTGGCTGGTGTGCCTGGGGGGGCCAGGATGGAGGCGGCCGCTGCATGGAGGGTGGACTCAGTGGCCCTCGTGACGGTGAGAAGGGTTCAGGAGCCAGGTGGTGGGGCTAGCTCAGAAATCATGGGAGCACTAGGGCTATCTCCAAAGTGGGGCTCAGAGGAAGGGGGGACGAAGGTCTGGGTGGCTGGGGGGCAGGTGGTACAGAGGCCCTCTGGTGAAGCCCTGTATTCCTGGAGTCAGGGCTGACATGTGGACGCCCTGGGGCATCCTGGGCTTTTCTGTCCTGCCCCCCTGAGGACGAGTGTGCAAATGGGCACCACGACTGCAATGAGACCCAGAACTGCCATGACCAGCCCCACGGCTATGAGTGCAGCTGCAAGACGGGCTACACTATGGACAAGTGAGTCTGGGAGGGAGGGAGGAGGTACAAGGCAGACCAGTGGGAGAGCATGTGGGGGAGCAGTGATGATGGGGAAGGTCCAGAGCAAAGCCTAAGGGGAGGAAAGGGAGTCAGAAGCTCAGGGCTGGTGGAATTGATGCAGGAAAGGGAAGGGCAGTGAGCTCGGTCATGGGGCAGACAGGATGGTGAGAGAGACCAGGGAAAAATGAGTTTCAGAGGGGCCCCGAGATGAGGAAGGACTGTGGACCTGCCTCTGGAGAAGGTGTGGGTTGCATTCCATAGGGCAAGAGTGATGGAACAGAAGTGACAGGCAGCTCTTCTGGGATAAGTGACTAGTTGAAAAGTGGGTGGAACAGTGGGTGGGTAGAAGCTAAGCCACCTGCCCAGGCCACCAGCCCTGCCCATCACACGTTTCCCGCAGCGTGACAGGCCTATGCCGCCCAGTGTGTGCCCAGGGCTGCGTGAATGGCTCATGTGTCGAACCTGATCACTGCCGCTGCCACTTCGGCTTCGTTGGACGCAACTGCTCCACTGAATGTCGCTGCAACCGCCATAGCGAATGTGCGGGTGTCGGGGCTCGGGACCACTGCCTGCTCTGCCGCAACCACACCAAGGTGGGCCACCCTGCACCTCAGACCCCTGACCCCAGCACCCAGCCCTTGCTTGCCTCAAGCCTGTGCTCAGGCATGGTTTCCATTTTTTCTTTTTTCGGTACTGGGGCTTGAACTCAGGGCCTACCCCTTGAGCCACTCCACCAGCCCTTTTTTAAGTTAGGTGTTTTTGAGATAGGGTCTCACAGAATTAATTGCCCTGGACTGGCTTCGAACTGTGATCCTCTTCATCTCTGCCTCCCGAGTAGCTAGGATTACAGGCGTGAGCCACTGGTGCCTGGCTTCCATTTTTTTTAACTTTATTTTTGTGGGGCTGGGTGGAACCCAGGGCCTCATGTTTGGGCATCTTGAGCTTTATTGTGTCGTTGGCTGAGAAGGGAAATGATGGCTGAGCCCTGTCCCAGCCATGTGAGAAGACTTTGGGGATTCTGTAGTAGTGGACAGTGAGGGCTGCACAAGGAGGGAGGGACTTTTGAGCTTAGGACTTGGAGTTTGAAATGAGCAGAGAAGTGGGACCTAAATCTGAGGCTGGATGATCCCTGCCAAGTGCCCCTGCATTCCCCAGCCCTTCTCACAACTGTGTCCTGGGTTCTCAGGGCAGCCACTGTGAGCAGTGCCTACCGCTGTTTGTGGGGTCAGCTCTGGGGGGCGGCACCTGCCGGCCCTGCCATGCCTTCTGTCGTGGCAACAGCCACGTCTGCGTCTCCAGGAAGGAGCTGGAAATGGCCAGGAGAGAGCCAGAGAAGTACTCACTGGATCCAGAGGAGGTGAAAGAGGCTGGGTCCGGGACTCCTGGATCTGGGGATCTGGATCAGAGGGAGCTGGGGATCTGGACCGCTGGGTCTGAGGGAGGAGGGCTGGGTCTGGACCTATAGGTCTGAGGGAGGAGGGCTGGGGCTGCACTCCTGGGTCTCAGGGAGGAGGACTGGGCCTGGATCCCTGGGTCTGAGGGAGGAGGGGCTGGTTCATGCCTTTCAGTGATCACCCTGGCTTTCCTTGATCAGATTGAAAACTGGGTGACAGAGGGTCCTAGTGAAGATGATGCCGTATGTGTGAACTGCCAGAACAACAGCTATGGGGACAAATGCGAGAGCTGCCTCCATGGCTACTTCCTCCTGGATGGGAAGTGCACCAAGTGAGAGGAAGGGGCTGGACCCTTGCCCTTCTCACTAGGAGTAGCTGGGATTCCAACCCCTCCCCCATCCTCTGCTTTCAGTCAGAAGTGGGTGACATTCCCAGGGGGCCCCAGGCCAAGACAGGGGTTGAGAAGTGAGTGGGGCCCAGCTCAGAAACCCTTACCCTCAGTCCAGGATTGAAATCCAGGCCACACAACAACCTCAGTGGAGATGGTGAGTGCAGAGAAGGCTGGAAGGAAGCAAGCTCGAGCCAACACTCCACGCCCCATTCCATGCCCTTCCATCCAAATATTTGGGGAACTTAGAGTCGGTCCAAACCGGGTTCCAATCCTGATTGCCACCTAGCAGCTCTTGGTCTTGAAAATGGCTTGACCTCTGTGAGCCTTAGAGGTCATGGGAGTTCCATTATCTGCCCCCCCATCTTCTTCCTGTCCTCAGATGCCAGTGTAATGGCCATGCAGACACTTGTAATGAGCAGGACGGGACAGGCTGCCCATGTCAGAACAACACAGAGACGGGCACATGCCAGGGCAGCTCCCCCAGTGACCGCCGGGACTGCTACAAATACCAGGTGCGACTGGAGAAGCGAGTTCTGGACTGAGGTGTCTATACTCAGAGCTGGGTTGAGTAGCTGGGCCTGGGCAGGACCATTGGTTGTGAATCTGTGGTCTTGGGGTCAGGGTCAACTGAATAGACTGTTACTGAGCTCCAATCAGTTTCAGTGATGGTGAGGACCAAGACATAGATCCTGGAGCTGGTGTGTGTGTTGGGGGGGTGCTCTCAGACTGACAGAGTCACAGCTTGCAAGTCTACAAGGCTAGGAACTCATAGTAGCTTAAGAGAAAGAAAATGATTGACTCTTGAAACTGAGGTGACTAGGCACAGTAGTGCGTGCCTGTAGTCACAGCTATTCTAGAGACTGAGGCAAGAGGATAAAGAGTTTGAGGCTATCAGGACTGGGGGTGTGACTTAACTGCATACTTTGCAAGCATAAGGCCCTGAGTTCAAAACTCAGTACTGCCTGTCCCCCCCCCCCCCCCCGACTCAAAAAAAAAAAAAAAAAGTTTGAGGCCAGCTTGGTCTACATAGTGAGACCCTGTTGCAAAAAAGCCAAAACAAAGGTCTGGGATGTGCCTTCAGGAATGGCTGGTTTCAGGTGTTCACATAGTAACATTAGCAATCTCTTTCCCTGTATCTTGACTCTGCTCTCCGCTATGTTGGCTTTATTTTCAGGCAGGTTTTCCCATCTGGTGAACTGGAGCTAACAGGATCTCACATCCATTATAATACCGAGATTTAAATTCAAGTCCAGTTCCCCTGTTTTCTGCAGAGAAGCACCAGGAGCATCTGCACTGCTCACCTGGTCAGCTGCCATGCTGTAGACTTCTCCCATGGGGAGGGCATCCCTTGCTAGTCCTTAGAAGACACGGAACACTTACTGTCTCCAGGGCAGGGGGAAGAGAAATCTCATGCTTATCTCAGTCTCCTTTTCCCATCTACAGAAACAGTCTATAGGCATAGTTGCATCTGCACCCAAAATGCATAGTTTTACATGCCTTACTGATCAAAGCCAGCCTGAGTAAATAGTTTGCTAGACCCTATCTTGAGAAAACCCATCACAAAAAAGGACTGGTGGAGTAGCTCAAGTGGTAGAGTGCCTGCCCAGCAAGTGTGAGGCCCTGAGTTTAAACCCCAGTACTGCAAAAATAAATAAATAAATAAACTTGTTGGTAGGTTGGGTGTGGCTCATTGGTAGAATATGTGTCTAGATATGTGAGACCCCAGCAAAGAGGAAAAAAAACACTAAACATTACTGAAAAGTTCTGTTGCCCTCTACCAGAGGGCCCAAGAAATTAAAACTGCAGACTCTGCCTCTAGCAGTTCCAATGCAGTATGTGTTGTCTGTTAATAATCACGGGGGAGGGAAAAGAAACCAAAACTGTGCAGAGGTCTTGGTGAGGTGCAGACATGAGCTGAAATTAAGCTCAGAGACATGGACTGTCCTGCCCCAGCTTGGGTTTGGAGTCAGCTGGGTTTGGAGCTGGGACGGATGTGAGTGGTTGCCACTAAGTACAGGAATCATGAGAGCTGCCCTCCATCCATGCATCCCCTCGGTACATATTTATTGAGCAACTGTTACATGATCAAGCAGTGCATGAGACACAGGGACCCAGCAGGGAACAAGGCAGACAAATCATCTGCCCTCCTAGAGTTACACTCCCACAGAGGATTCAGGCAGTGAGCAGAAGAGTAGTCAGGAACAGTGTGTCAGTGATGAGAGGCAAGAAGGAAAAGGAAGCAGAAGCATGGCCGGGGAGTAGAAAGGGTAGATACAGTGACTGAGGAAAGCCTTGGTGAGAAGGTGGTGCTCCATGTGGAAGTGAGGGTGTCAGACAAGTGGACATATAGGAACCAGGCCATTCAGGTAAAGAACATGTCAGTGCAAAGGTCCTGAGGTAGGAATGTGCCTAACAGTCCAGAAACAGACAGGCAGGCAGGTGAGGGTGGCCAAGTCAGTGCTGTTCCTGTGATTTCAGCAGACCCTGAGCATGCCTCAGTTCCTCCTGTACACAGGAGAATCTCGGGCTCATTGAGGTCAGGTCACTAGTTTGAGGGCACACAGCTGGTTAGGAGGAGGAGCCAGAATCTGACAGAGCTCTTCATTGCCATGCCCCATGGTACCAAAGGCCTCGGTATCAGGCTGCCAGTTACTGGGGTGAGCCCAGGTGCAGAGTGTCAGTTCCTGGCAGTATCCACATTGGCAGAGACGTTCTGGACAGGTGTCACAAGGACATGACTGGGCGCTAGTGAGAGCTCAGGACAGTGACTGCTTGGTGTCAGGTGGTATGGGCCTGTCCTGCTTGGTGGACAGCTCCACCCATGCCCTGCCTGATGGCTGTGTGTGCCCCTGCTCTGCCTACAGTGTGCCAAGTGCCGGGAGTCGTTCCATGGGAGCCCGCTGGGCGGCCAGCAGTGCTACCGCCTCATCTCGGTGGAGCAGGAATGCTGCCTAGACCCCACTTCCCAGACCAACTGCTTCCACGAGCCCAAACGCCGGGCACTGGGCCCTGGCCGCACTGTCCTCTTTGGTGTGCAGCCTAAGTTCACCAATGTAGACATTCGCCTGACACTGGATGTGACCTTCGGAGCTGTAGATCTCTACGTCTCCACTTCCTATGATACCTTTGTGGTCCGTGTGGCCCCTGACACAGGTGTTCACACAGTACATATCCAGCCACCCCCACCCCCACCACCTCCCCCGCCTCCTGCTGATGGCGGGGCCCGGGCGGCAGGGGATTCAGGAGGACCTGGGGCTGGGAGTGGGCCAGGCATATCCACAGAGCCTCGTGTTAGGGAGGTCTGGCCGCGGGGCCTAATTACCTATGTGACAGTGACTGAGCCATCAGCAGTGCTGGTGGTCCGCAGTGTGCGAGACCGGCTGGTCATCACCTACCCACACGAGCACCATGCCCTCAAGTCGAGCCGCTTCTACCTGCTGCTGCTGGGTGTGGGCGACCCAAGCGGGCCTGGTGCCAATGGTTCTGCAGACTCGCAGGGCCTGCTGTTCTTCCGGCAGGACCAGGCCCACATTGATCTGTTTGTCTTCTTCTCCGTCTTCTTCTCCTGCTTCTTCCTCTTCCTCTCTCTCTGCGTGCTCCTCTGGAAGGCCAAGCAGGCCCTGGACCAGCGACAGGAACAGCGCCGGCACCTGCAGGAGATGACCAAGATGGCCAGCCGCCCCTTTGCCAAGGTCACTGTCTGCTTCCCGCCAGACCCTACTGCCCCAGCTCCTGCCTGGAAGCCAACTGGGCTCCCACCACCTGCCTTCCGTCGCTCTGAACCCTTTTTGGCACCCTTGTTGCTGACAGGGGCAGGGGGGCCTTGGGGACCCATGGGAGGGGGTTGTTGCCCACCAGCCATCCCTGCCACCACTGCCGGCCTGCGAGCTGGGCCCATCACCCTTGAGCCCACAGAAGATGGCATGGCTGGCGTGGCCACACTGCTGCTCCAGCTACCTGGGGGGCCCCATGCGCCCAATGGTGCCTGCCTGGGGTCAGCCCTTGTCACACTGAGGCATAGGCTGCATGAGTACTGTGGGGGAGGTGGCGGGGCAGGGGGAAGTGGGCATGGGGCTGGTGCAGGCCGGAAGGGATTGTTGAGCCAGGACAACCTCACCAGCATGTCCCTCTGATCTGCCGATGGGCCTCTACCACAGCAGCAGTCAAGTCACCTGGCGGGGCTGCCCTGGCTATGGGCCCCTGGACACTGTCTCCTCAGAGGCTACTGGCTCTCCTCCCACCCAGGAGTCCACTGTGTTCTGCATTTGGCAACTTATTTATTGAGCAGCTGTTTCATGCCAGACACTGTTGTAGGCACAGAGCAAAGTAGGAAGTGAGAAAGGAGGTTCCTTGATCTCCTGGGACTTAGATTGTCATGAGGGGAGACAATCAGGTCATGTGTGCATGCACGTGCAGGGTGGTTTCAGAGAAGAAGGGCTGTGAGACCTCAACAGGATGTGGCAGTGAGGGACCTGGGAATAAAGTTGATTGGGCATTCAGAGAAGGTAGACTGAGAAACCCAGAAGACATGGCCGTGGCCATGGCCATGGAAAGAGCTATGGGAAACCCAGAGCTCCAAGCAGAGGGTGCTACAGGACAAAGATCCTGAGTGGGTACAAGACTGGCCATTTCAACCAACAGCAAGTGTGAGGAGATGAGAATGGGGACAGGCAGGACCTTCTGGGCCCCAGGTAGGGTTTTGGGTTTTATTCTGAGGACAATGGGAAGCTGTTAGATGGTTTTGTTGGGGAGAATGATGGGATCCATACCTTTTTACGAAGTCATTCAGCTAAGATGTGGAGAATGCTAGAGGAAGCAGGAGAGGCAGCAGGGGTCAAGGACAATGGTGGGTGGTGGCCATGAGGTGGAGTCAGGGTCAGATGCGGGATGAGTGTAGAAGGATGTAGGGATAGTGCAGCTGTCAGGGTAAGGAAGGGGCAGCATCCAGGATGACCTAACTTTATAGCATGGGCTGCGGGGTTATTAAGATGGGGCCGGCTGGGGCTTCCACTGGGGAGGATGAGGAATACAGTGTGGATATGCGCTTTGAGCATTTTTCAGTCAAGTCCAACTGGGGTTAATACAGAAACTACCTGAAGTATTTCAACAGGAATTGAGTGCAGGGAGTTGGTAGCGCTGCTGAGGGCAGTTACTGGGAAGAGGTGAGCAAGAGCAGGAACTTGTTGCCACCCCTGGATTGGAGGGACAAAGCTCAGAGGTTGGCACTACCTGACCCTGGTGAAGACAGAACTGGGACCTGTGGGGTGGAAACCTCTGATGAGAGCAAACCTCTGTCTGAGATGTCCCCCAGGTGGGCATGAAGATCAGTGGGAGTAGGGGACCGAGGTTGGAGAGACATGTGGGGTCATCACCCCACAGTTCTCTTCAGTGCTGCCTTGAGACTTCAGGACTTTCCCCAGGGGCCACCTCCACCCGCGCCACCGTCGTGGACTTCTGCGCTCCTCTACCTATTGAGGATCCAGTCCTAACCATCTTCCTAAACTTGGGACTCTTACTTTCCCAAGACTCCCAGCTCCCAGCTGCTACTTTGATCTTGGGGGCTGGGCTGTGTCCTGCATCCTCCCTTTGCTGGGGGGCCTAGTTGAAGTCCCCTGTCCCCCAGTGTGTGCGTGTCAGATGCAGAAGGGGCCACAGATGAACAACGGGAGGGGAGCAGCTGAAGCAACTAATAAAGAGTGTGGGGAAGACCCAGGTGTGTTGAGTGCAGTCTGCTTGGGGGAAGAGGAAGAATGGGCTTCTGAGCAAGCACCCAAGCGTCGGGTAAGTGCTCTTGTCCTGGTGCTACCTCCAAGCCATGTGCCCCAGGCCTGGCAGGTGGCTGTTCCTCCTAAGTGGTAAGGGTATGTAGCCACAGGATCTCCTGCTTCCCAGAGATGAGGAACTGCAGAACTGTTCCAGTAAGGCCTTGTCTTCCTATAGGGATCTCTAGTTTGGCTTAGAAGGGAATCAGACTGCCTGGACGCCAGGCATGGGTTTTACTCCGGGCCCTGGTGTAAGATGAAAGAGTTCAAACCAGAGAGCCTGGAGACCAAGATGAGGCACTAGGACCATGAGCTCTCTTAAGTGCTATAGACCCTTGGCATCGGCAGGTTTCTGGTTTGAAGCAGATGCTGTGTAGGGAAAACCACGCATGCTCAGGATGCAGGGTTCAGTACTGCAGATGCCCAACTTCTGCTAAAACCACCACTTTTCAGCAACCTCAGATTTTCACTTTATCACTTAAATTGGGCATATTACATGCCCTTTTTGGTTTGGGTAACCATACCTTGCTTTTGGGGCACCATTTGCTTTTTGGCAGGCATACTCCATTTTCACAAAATTAAGGGCAGGGGAACACTCAGCAGATCACTCAGCTAAACACAACTGATGATAACAGGACAGGCAGAATTCTAGATCCGCAGAACTGTGTAATGCATGTGCAGGAATTTAGAATTTTTGTTTTTGAAATTTTATTTTTTGACTGCTTGGTCAAATCAGTGCATAAGGTGGACTTAACTGTACACTCTCAAGGTCAAAATTGAGAGCGACATGGGAGCTGCCTTATCTCCCTCCACCCCTGGATAAGAGGGTTGGGTGGGAGCTGGAGGTCTCTGTCCTCCTTTGGCCTTGACTCATTGTGTCTTTCTTACTGGGAGTGCTCAGCAATGTTCTCTGTACACCAGGTCCCAAGTTCAGCTAAGGATACGCAAGGTGTTGAACTTGAGAGCAAGGCTGGAACTCTCCAGTGTGGCCCTTGAGCAGCATGGGCTTTGCTCACCGTTTTCAGACTGAGCAATCGAGGACATTTTCATGGATGACTCTGGTCCTGTATGAGTTTTGCCTTGGGAGCTGACAGTAGCTACCCTCTGAGATGTGGCTATGAATTTGGCATTTATTGAGCACCATATGTTATCAGTGTGCTCAGCACATTACTGCTGTGTGTTTCATTTCTTGGAAAGACCAACAACCATGAAGTGGGAACTATGTCATCTCATTTTGTAGGTTAGAAACAAAGGGTTGTAGTCATCATTTGGCTGTCAAGTGACAGCTGCTGTTCGAACCCCAGCTGTCTGACCACCAGGCTGTTCTTCCTGGGGAAGAGCCCTTCACTCAGTGCAGGTTGCTGTGGCTGGGAACTGTCACAAGGGGACATGCAGAGCAGGCACAAGAAGCAGGGTGTTCAAACTGATTGCTGCTGAGAATAAGAGTTGACCAACTGGGGAGCTGGAGAGCAGTGGGTTGTGCTGGGCTGCTCTCACCTCTTGCTTCAGTCTGGATGCTGGTGAATGCAAGAGGCTCATGGTGGGGAAAGAAAGCCTGGGCACAGGAGACTAGAAGCCTGGGTTCTAGTCTGAGGGTGGCTGCCAACACTCTTAAGAACTTCAGGAAAAGGGGGCATTTTACCAAGGGCCTGTAGCCCTCAGACACTGCTAGGTGCTTGACATGAGCCTTCAAATCTTCCCAGCATCACTATGGGGGTGTCTTGTTCTCCCATTTTGCAGATTTGGAAATTAAGTCTCTCGCCTAAGAACTCAGGGCTAATTAAGAAGCAAATTGGACTTTGGCTTTCCCTTGCCTCACACATCATCTCCAAAGACACTTCCCTTTCTAAGCCAATATCATGTGCCTGGGATCACCGACAGAAGGCTCTGTGCGGTTCCAAGTGCTGGGGACACAGCAGTAAACAAGTTTCCTGCCTTCCTGGAATTGGTAAGCCAGTGGGGTGTCTGGTAATAAATAAGGCATTATATTGGAAAGTGACCAGAAAAGGCGACAAAGGAAGGGAGTTGGCCCTTGCTGTTTAAGGTAAAATGGAAAAGGACGGCCTCTTTCAATAGATGACATGAACAGAAGTGAGGGAGTTCCAAGGTGAGACAACAGCCAGTGCAAAGGCCCTGTGGTAGAAGTGTGACCAGCATCTTAGAGAAACAACAGATCATGTGATTGAGATAGAGGGAGTAAGGGGGAGATGGGCAGAAGACTAGATCACAGACGATTAAGTGATGGATCCTGTAGGTGGTCCTCGGGCCGCACTGAGGACTCTAGCTCTCATTTTGTGGGGGATGGAGCCAGGGGGGGATTCTGAGCCCTGGAGGATGGGCTCTGAGTTAGTTGTTCACAGGATTCTTCTGTGGAAAAACCCAGTGGGGAAGCCACTGTTCTTCTTAGGGTTGAAGAGGAGGGTGGCTGGATCCAGGGAGCAGCAAAGCATGGAGAGGTGGTGAGATTATGGAGATGTTCTGGAAGCAGAGCCAACAGAATTTGCCAACAGCTTGGGTGCCATGTGAGCGAATGACATAATAAGGCGTCACCTATAAAGTTACTTCCCTTTTCTAAGCCAGTGTTGTCTGCCTGGGATCACCTGTAGTGGGCCCCACCCTGTTTCAGGTGTTGAGGACATAACAGATGGATCTTGCTATTTCCTGAGATGGGAAAGAATGCAGAAGGAGGCCAGGTGGGGGGGGGCATCAGGAGCTAGGTTTGGGACATTGTTAAATTTGAGGTGGCTCTTAGCTATTCTAAGCAATGATGTCACTTGTCGATTATATGCACAGATCCATATAGAAAGATGAAGAAACAAGAATAATAGCAAATAATAGTAATATTGATATTGGAATAGTTATATTCTACATAATACAATAGTAACATAACAGCAATGAGTTACTGAGGTCACACTTTGCCCTGTCTGTCCCATCACTTATTCTCATAGTAGCTCTTTTGTTTTCTCTCCCTCCCTCCCTCTCTCTTCTTCCTTTTTCTTTTCTTTTTTTCTCCTTCCTTCCTAACTTCCTTCCTTCCTTCCTTTTCTCTCTCCTTCCCCCTTCCCTTCCCTTCCCTTCCGTTTTCTTTTCACAGGGTCTTGCTATGTAGTCCAAGCTGTCCTCGAACTCTCCATCCTCCTGTCTCAGCCTCCTAAATACTGGAATTACAGATGCGTACCACTATGCCTGGCTATTCCAGTCGGTTTTTGGCATACTAAGGACTGTTGTCATCAGGCGCTGGTGGCTCACGTCTGTAATCCTATCTACTCAGGAAACTGAGATCGAAGGACTGTGGTTCAAAGCCAACCCTGGGCAAGTAGTTCTCAAGACCCTATCTCAAAAATACCTAACACAAAATAGGGCTGGTGGAAGTGGTAGAGTACCTTTCTAGCAAGCATGAGGCCCTGAGTTCAAACCCCAGCCCCCCCAAACACACAAAAAAGACTGTTATCCACAGAGAAGAAAACCGGCACAGAAAGGTTTATGAATTCCTAATGTAACTCAGGTAGTAAGTGGCAAGAATCAAGATGGTATTCCAGGTCTGTTCCGTTTTGATACCTGAGTTTTCTCTAATCTGCTAGTTGCATTTGCAACAACTGTTACTGTTACAAAGGCTCCACTGGAAGTCAGTCAGCTGAGAGGCAAAAGAGCTAGCTGATCAGAAGATGGAGGACCTAGTGGACTATTGTCCTAAAGGATCATCTTACTGAAAGGCTGATTTAGGAACAATGATATAGGAGAAGGGTGATGCAAACTGGTGGGCCCCTCACAGTTGGGTGATTGTGGCCAGACGAGGCACATCTGATCGATCTATCTATCTATCTATCTATCTATCTATCTATCTATCTGTATTTTTTCCCCTTTTCACTTCTGGTGATCAAGCCCAGGACCTGGCACACACTAGGCAAGTTCACTACTATCCAGTCCTGAGAAGTCTGATCTTAATGCTTAACTTCATAAAATGGGTTAATTGGACTGGATGATCCTTAAGGAGTCCTTTTTAACTCCAGATAGGCTTAAGCTGGGCAGTTCTCCGCTTTGGAGACAAAAGTCCCCCAAACCTGTTAGAAGTGTGTGTAGTCCAAAAGTCCACGGGAATTGAAAGAGCAGGGAAGGGCGGTCCACTTTAGTTTCTGAGCTCTGCTGAGACTATCTTTCTAATTTTGCATGTGGACAGAACTTCAAAGAGGGCATTTGACCTTTGGAGGTTTTACTTGAATGGATGAGGACTGTCAGTCCCATCAAACACGGGACACCTCCATCCACACCTAGGCATTTTTCATGTGTCCCCATCTCTCTCATTAAACCTCCCTCTCCACCCAGATTCCTTCCTTGGGACAAAAAGGCAGTAGGCGGGGTTGGTTTTCAGGTTTTTATTGTGGGTGTATTTTTGGCGGTGGGACAGGGGCGGCGGGGCAGGCTCTCCCAGGAGAGGTCCCGGGGGGCCAGGCGTGACCAGCGGACTAGGAGGAGGAAGACGGCGGGAATGTCTTTACTCTCGTATCTTCAGTTCCCGCGCCATTTGACAGAGGGCGCAGGGCAGACAAAAGGTGAGGGCCGCCCAGTCGTGCCCGATGGAGCCCTAGAGGGTGGGAGAGAGAGGTCAGGAGCCCCGCTTGGAGTCCCAGGAGGCCACTCCCCAGCCCCTTGCCCCTGCGGTCCCCGGCGGCGCGCACCTGGATGCGGTAGCGCTCGCGCATGCCGGTGCGTAAAGAGTGCAGGCCTCCGGGCAGGTAGGGCGTGCAGCAGCACTCGCCGAAGTCGTCGGAGATGCGACAGGCGAGGCACAGCGGGGCGAAAGTGCCGCACAGACCTGGGCGGAGAAGGACGTGAAGCTCAGGCGCGGGGCCGAGGGCGCCTGCGGCCTCATCCGCCGCGGGGGGCGTGGCTGGCAGAGGGGCGTGGCTGGCAGAGGCGAGTGTGGCCCGATTTGGTGAGGGTCCCAGGCGGAAGGCCGCGGTGGAGGAAATGAAGAAGAGGTCCCAAGCCCAGGAGAATCAGGGTGGAGGAAGGGGGTCACAGCGAGGAAAGGGGAGGTCGCGTGTTGGAAAGTGTGAGGTCAGGGTTGGGGTCAGTTGGGGTCCCAGGCAGGGAAGAGGGTTAGAGAATGGGAATTGAGTATCCAAAGAAGGGAAGTGAGGTAGGATTCGTAGGGAGGGTCAAGGACGGGGTGGAGGTGATCTTCTCTCCCTACCGCCCCTCTCCTATCACTCACAGACGGGCATGTCGTTGCAGCAGTCCGTGAGGCCCGTGTGCCAGTCACTGAGCTGGGTCTGGTAGCAGGTGCTGGCGCATTGGGGCTGACTGGTCACTGGGTAGGACATGGCTGCGGAGGTGAAAGGAGAGGGTCATCAAGCAGCCTGGCAGGGCCTCTTGGGTCCCAGTGCTCCTGCCACTCTTTCCTCTGCCTAGCAGTCTGGGCAGGGCCACCAGGCCGCCCACTGAAGGACACCACTCCACCTCCCCTTTCGCTTCTGCCACATCTGGGGATTAACACCCCAGTCTGTCCCTGTTGCCGCTGCTAAATCCACATCTGGTTGCGCTGGGGTTGGGGTTGGGGGACTCCTGCAGGTTGGAGGAAGGTGAGCATCACATCTGGGCAGGGCCTGGACATGCTGCCTCCTCCTGCACATCTGGGCTTGGGATGCTGGGTTCCAGCATTTCAGGGGTCTCTGGGGTGGAAACAGGTGCCATTTCTCTTCAAAGCCAGGGTGCCCAGGGGAGGGAGGCAGACAGGTTCCGGGTCCCGGGAGGGCCGCTGGTCCATCCAGCTGTCCCACCTTTGCCTTTCACGGTGTCGTGCATCTCATACTGCATTTCGCTGGCCCTGAGGAGGTGGCGGTGTGGACGACGGAGGTGGCTGCAGTAACAGCGGCGGAGTCTGTCCAAGGGACGCTGGATACTGGGGAGGGGAGGGTAAGGGACTGGGGCACTGGGACACTGGGCTGTCTGGGGGAGGGGAGCTGGGGAGAAAGAGGCCAAGTCAGCCTGCTGGCTGGAATCAATCTGGGATGGGTAGGGTGGGGGCGAGAAACTCGCCCATCTCTTTAAAGCTGCCCGACACACCCCAGAGGAATCCCTCAGAGCATAGGCAGAGCTGGAGAGAGAGAGAAAGAGAGCAAGAGACAGAAATAAGCAGAGACAAGGAGAGAGAGCTCAGAGCCAGGTGCCCACAGAGGTGCATGCTGCCAGTAATGCCACAAGCACCCAGCACTTTGACTCCTCTGTTAGCCCATTTCACAGAAGGAACAGCAAGGCTCCGAGAGGTGAAGAGAAATGCCACACGTCTAGTGGTCCAAGCTAAGGAGGCTAAAAGAGGGGATGCTGAGCCTCGGGCTTGCCAAAATCAATCCAGTGCCACTCAGGTTGAGAAGGCAGGACTCAGGACTCTGAAAAGACAGACTGTCAAAGAGGTGAAACAGATGTGAGTGGGGTGGAGTGGAGGGAAAACAGAGAGGAGGTGCCCGGCATCAAAGCAGAAGGCTTTAGGAAGGGAGGTGCTCCTACCTGCAGGCCCACGGTGTGGTGGTGGAGACAGATGTGGGTGACACGGCACTGAGTTCTCAATCTCAGGCTAGGAGCTGCTTATATGGGCCAGGCCACTGGGCTGAGGGCGGGGCTCTGACAGAGGTGCTCAGGGAGCCAAGCCGGTCTGGCTGACCCTCTTCCCCCCACTGGGATTTCCCGCCCTCCCTTTCCATTCCCCAACCCCCACTTCTCCCTAGCCTCACCTCCCAGGACGAGGAAATAGTGTGTGTGTGCCGGTTGGGTGGGGGGTGGGGGGATCAGGGGGTCAGGATGAGGACATGGGGATGGAGAGAGAAACTGGAGTTGGAAGAGATAGAGACAGACAGGTGGGGATAGAGGGAAGGTGAGGGGTGCGGCTGGGTCCTCCTGCTGAGACCTAAAGAGGGTGAAACAGAGATGGGGAGGGAGTAGGGGACAAGGAGACAGCAGAGAGGCAGGGAAGTGGCGAATGGGAGGGAGGGAGTGAGAAGGAGATTCGGAGACAAAGAGAGACAGGAAAACAGAGATGAAGAAAGATGCCGAGAGACCAAGAGGCTTAAAGATCTGGGAAGAAATAACCAAAAGGGAAGCCAGGACTGGGAGAGGAGAAGCCCAGAGAGGGAAAGAGGAGGAGGGCAGGTGGAGTCAGTGCAGCAGAGGATCAGGAAAGGGGAGAGGAGAGGACGGGCAGGTAGGGTGGTGCAGGAGGGAGCACAGAGCGGAGCGCCCTTAGAGACTCCCTCCTCAGGCTTAGACCTGGCCACTTCTCCAGGATCAGGCCGTGTGTGCAGTGTGTTCTGGGGAGCAATTCCAGTGGGGAATCGCTCTACTCCGAATTGGGAAGGGAAGATGCTAGGACTGAGAAGTGAACTGAAGGTCAGGGATGTGTCTGGGGCTTGATAAAACAGAAGATGGGAAGAAGATGGCCTGGACCCCGGGGTCTGAGGGAGGAGGGCTGGGGTCTGGCCCCTGGGTCTGAGAGAGGAGGGCTGAGGGTCTCTGGAATTCTGGGCCTGAGGAAGGAGGAGTAGGGTCTGGACGCCTGAGTCTGAAGGAGGAGACTGGGGCCTTGACCCCTGAGTCACCTAGGCTAGGCTGTGCATCCCTGGGTCCTCAGAGTCTGAACTGCTGGACTCCAGGGAAGGAGCTGGGGATTGGATGCCTGATTCACCAAAGTTTCCCCCCAACAGGCCTGACGGGGTTGGAGGTGACTCAATGGGGAAGCGGCATTAGAGCTGGGTGAGGTCCCCAGCACGGGTGTCACCCCAAAAATGTAGGAGGCACAGAAAATTTGGGTGTCACCTGTAGAGAAGGTGGTGTCATCACTCCACTGGGTATGGATATGGGGTGACAGCAGTGGTTCACCTGCTGGCCTGGGATCACAGCTTTCCTCCCCAACGCCCAACACACCAGGACCCACGCCTTGGTCTCTGGCACCATCCAGGTGGCTGGCTCTCTCTGTCCCCAGACCTATGGGGGCAGTGCTCTTCATCTTGCCTGTGCATGTCTGTCACTTGTGTGGTAGCCTGCGTATGTGACAGCCTTCCCCTCATTTCTGTATCTTTGTCTCGTTTTTCCTCATCCCTTCGTCTCTGCAGATCTCTGGATCCATCTCCCCATTTCTCTTGGTTTTTCTACTCCTCAGCTCTGTGTCTGTGTGTCCTGGAGTCTCTCAGGTTTTCTCTCATCTCTCCCGCTCTCCAGGTTTGCCCCATGGAGGCAGCCACCGGAAGCCTTCCCCCCAGCTGGCAAGACTATAGGCTGCAGGTGACTCACCGGCCAGTCAGATCTGAGGACCCCAGGGCTTCCAAGATGATAATCTAACTAAGTTTCTGCTCCTGATACAGCCTGGGGGCCCCAGTTAGATACAGCTACTCATGTAGATAACAAAACCAGGGCTGCTTTGAGGTTGCCTTCTTGGGGCTGAGGAGAACAGGGAGCAGGAAGAAGCAGGCCTGATGGACTGAGGAGTGCCCTGTCCCAGCCACTGGGCATCTGGGTTCTGTCTCCTTCAAATGGGATTGTCAGATAGTATATAGGATGCTTGGTTCAAATGGAATTTCAGATAAATAATGAATATATTTTTAGCGTTAGTATGTTCCATGAACACACTTACACTAAAAAGACATTTGGGGGCCGGGCATGGTGGTATATACTTATACCAGCACTTTGGAAACTGAGGCAAGAGGTTTGCAAGTTCAAGGACAGCCTGGGCAACTTAGTTAGGCCCTGTGTCAAAATGAAAAATGGAGCCAGCTGCTGGTGGCTCATGCCTGTAATCCTAGCTACTCAGGAGGCAGAGATCAGGAGGATTGCAATTTGAAGCTAGTCCCATGCACATAGTTTGAGAGACCCTATCTCAAAAAACCCCAACACAATAAAGGACTGGTGGAGTGGCTCAAGTGGTAGAGTGCCTGCCTAGCAATTATCAAGCCCTGAGTTCAAACCCCAGTACCCCTCCCCAACAAAAAAAAAGAGGGCTGGAAAGGAAGCTCTAGCACGTGTGAGACCTTGGGTTCCATCCCCAGCCTGTAAAAATAATTAATTAATTATCTGAAATTCAAATTGAATGTACTTCTTGTAATTTTTTTTTTTAAATGGTACTGGGGGTTAAACTCAGGGCCTACACCTTGAGCCACTCACCAGACCTATTTTTGTGACAAGTTGTTTTTTGAGCTAGTCTCTCAAACTATTTGCCCTGGCTGGCTTTGAATCTTGATCCTCCAGAGCAGCTAGGATTACAGGCGTGAGCCACCGGTGCCTGGCCTTCTTATATTTTTATTTGCCAAATCTGGAACCCTATTTTTAAACAGAGAGGAATTCAGGATTGTGGTCTTGTTTCCCCAAAACTCAGGAGTCCAGGTTCCAGTCCCCTTCCTCCTGTCCCTAACATTGGGTTGGGGGGGAGGTGTCCAGCCCGCTGCTCCCTCAGCACCCTAGAGTCCAAGCTTCCAGCCCCTCTCTCCCCAGAATCCAGACATCCACCTCTAAGCCCAGTTGCCCAACTTGAATTTCATAAGGCAGGTTGTGCCATCCCATCCACTGGCCCTGGTGGAACCGGTCTGGCTAAGCAGACAAGTATGGCCCCCTTTTCCATTCTAAACCTACTGTTTCCTTGAGGGCCTGCCTAGAAGAACAGGAGGGACACAGGGAGCTTTGGGTGTGTCACTGTGTCTGGTTTAGTTATGTTGTATCTCTGTGTGTGGTTGTGTGACTGTGGGGACTGTCACATCCGTCTCTTCTTCTGTGGTCTGCAGTGTGACACGCGTGAAGGATGTTTCTACTTGTGTATCGTGTTGGATGCCTGTTTAGGAATGTTCTATTAATGTGGCTTTGACTGGATGAAGGCAGCAATTATTTACGGATGGGGACCTGTATGTGATATGCTTTGGAGCCAGAAATCTTGGGTTCGAATCCTTACTGCTTCTTACTGACTCCAAAACCTTGGGCAAGTCACCAAATTTCTCTGCACCACAATTTTCCATCTGTAAAATGGGTTGTTACAAATAGAGTTGTTGAGAATGTTAAGTGAGTTGAATTAATTCATGTGAAGAGTTTAGAATTGTGGCTAATATTAAATTTATTTAATTAATTAAATTATTTATTTATTTTACCGTATAGGGGTTTGAACTCAGGGCCTATACTTTGAGCCACTGCACCAGCCCTTTTTTGTGATGGGTTTTTCAAGATAGGGTCTCGAAAACTATTTTCCCAGGCTGCTTTGAACCGTGATCCTCCTGATTTCTGCTTCCTGAATAGCTAGGATTACAGGCGTGAACCACTAGCACCTGGCTAAAAGGCACACTTTTTTTTTGACAGCACTGAGGTTTTGAGCTCAGGGGCCTGCCTTTGCTAGACAGGTGTTATACCACTTGAGCCAAATTCGCTCAACCTTTCTGCTTTAGTTATTTTTTCCAATAGGGTCTCACTTTTATGCTCGGGCCAGCCTGGACTTCAATCCTCCTATTTACCTCTCCTGTGTACTGGGATGACAGGTGTGTACCACCACACCTAGCATATTAGTTGAGATGGGGTTGGGGGGGGTCTCACTAACTTTTTGTCTGGGCTGGCCTTGAACCCTGATCCTCTGAATCTCTGCCTCCTGAGTAGGTGAGATTACAGATGTAAGCCACTGTACTCTGTAGGAAACATTTTGCTTGTGATGGCGATGGTTATGATGTGTTCTGCTAGGTACTGGGGATACAGTAGTAAACAAAACCATGCACCTTTGCTCATGCTCTTTTTAGCAGGGACTGGATCACTGGCTTATCAGTGGCTGGGCATATCACTGAGTAGCTGGGGTGTCTGTTTTGCATGTGGATATTTCTATCGTTGCACACAATTCTAGGATTGTGTGCTTTCATTTTTGTTTGTGCTCAGATGCAATTATAATTGCGATCTGTGTGTACCTGATTATGTGGGTA